GATTATCTGGCAGCATAGAGAAAAAACCTCCAGAGAAAGAAGGATAGCAAATGATTCGCAAGAGCATGCGCAGCTTCACGTGTCGGTAAGGCAGCATTTGGTCGGCAGTCTCAAACCCTTAAGTTTTTCTTCATCACGGTATCGCTCAGTCTGGGGGGGGGGGAAGTGATGTAGAGGCGATTACTATGCCTCCTAGTATAAGTGCCATGTGAATGTGCAATGACGGCTCGCTGATAGTAGTACATATATTGAATTACTTCGACTATATTTAATAAGGAGCAGATGCGAATTGGATTCATCAAACTCATATGGATCAATCATTCGCGGTCGAATGTCTGCTGTCACCCAAAACTCAACATCTCTGGGGTCACAAGGTAATTACCGCACTACCTCTAGGTAATTATACTTGTATCTGAACGTGCATATACTGCAGGCGTTGCATGCATGCCCATGCACGAGTTATTCATCATGAGAGGTATGGGCAGAATCCGTGAGTGATTTGGGCTATCTAATAAGACAACCAAAAGCTTCGCTAAGCTTTTGTTGCGCAATCAAGACAGAGCAAGCATTTTCGTTGAATGGGAAAAGGGAGGACACAGGCCAAGTGCACCTCTGGCACACATCGATTTCGTCGTATCCATTCCTTTATGCATTCATCACCACGGTCTGATCTGGCACACATCGATTTCGTCGTGCTCATTCCTATATGCATTCATCACCGCGGTCTGATTCGGTCTTAACCGCGATCCGATTTAATGTAACAGCATTTTTGGGTGTTCATATCCGGTGGCCATCGCCGCTCAGCGGCGCCTCGCTCGTCACCTGACGGCGATCTGGCAAACAAACCGCGCCCGATACCGCCCGCCGCTGATCCAGCGGCCCACCCCGGCTCGCCCTGTCGGCGCCGAATGCCGCCGGTGGCCGGCCGCCGCCACCTGGGGCTTACCGTCCGCAGGCCCGCAGGCGTGCGGTCACAACAGCGCCGCTACGGCCGCAATAAATCAACGGTAGGCGGCGCTGGCGACGGCGGCGGCCGAGAGAGACACCGCCCGACACCCGCCTGTCGGCAGCCGACGCTGCCGAGGCCGAGGCGGGAGTGGGGGGATGGGACTCACTTTACGACGCATGTGGCTTCTGAGGTTGTCGGTGTCACAATCTCTCTCGAGGATTGTGGGGAGAAAACGGAATAACCGCTGGTAAGTCTTGGGCCCACATTCCCTCAGCTGCGAGTCAAGCGTGCTATCGCTGAGCTCAGCTACGACTAGGGAAGCGGTTTGGGACGTACGGGCTGGTTGCCTTTCGTCAAGCTATGTGAGTTGTCGATCAGTGGACTGATGTACGAGAGCACTGCTTGGATGAAATTGCTGAAAGGTGCGTTTCATTCGGATTGCATGCCGATCGGTGTATAATGTACAGCAATTATGACTCCTACCGTCGTTTTGCAAGTTCAACAAAGCAAACAAAAATCCTGAACCATGTCAAAAGCTGCAGGCAGTTTTACGCAGTGGTGCAGCCCGAGGGGTTGTGGCGTGCACCTGGGCGTACATCAAGTCGTAACTTAAACGGTTCGGTTTTGTTCACGTGGTGGTTTGCCTATGCACACGGCCATTTGTCTGCTTATTTAATCGTCAACAATATCACTCTCTGGATTATGCTAGAAAAGTAGCATCGTAGACAGAGGCCTCCAACTGTAACAATTCATCCACGGTCACGGCCACGTGTGGTGAATACGCGGCGCTACTGCATTCCAAGTGCGGGCTAGTCCGAAACGGACACCCAGCATAATTCTGCACAAGCCTAGTTATGATGCGAATCGGCACAACTGACTGATGATGCACCAACATTGTTCCCATGCTGTTCAAGCATTTCAGGAGTAGTTGTTTAGAACTACGTCAGACATCAGCAATGGCAATGTAATTGCTCCGATAAGTGTGAGTGGGTGGCGAGCCATTGTAAAACAAGTGAATGGTTAGCACATACCTGATTGTTTGTCGGAATGCAGTGCGAAGATATTTCACGGAAATAAGAACATGCGTTGAATCACAGCACTATGCGCAGCTGTTTTACTTGTTTTGCCTATTTATTGTTTTCACAAGGGGGCATCGGACGACGGCTACGTGAAGCACGGTCTTCCGCTGCGTTGAAACACTCACCGAAGCATTTATGAGCACTCGGTACAGCGGCAGTAGTGAGTTGTTATGCGGTGGACATCCTCTGGGAATCGTGATGGGATTTTGATCATTTCGAAACGCCATTTGATTTTTCCCGACAGAAATGCATCCCTCGAAGGAATTCCTGCGATCTTGAAAACTGTAAAACTAGAAAACTTGACCTGAAAAACGCCACCGTTCTTGCGCAATGACTTTCGTATAACCAAAAACAATACGAATTTTCAGGCGTCTGAAACACCCCCAACTGAGCGCATAATCTGCTGTGTCGTTTGCTCGGGCGTGATTTGGCGCACAAAGAAATTGAGCTGCAGTGCTGTGTAGTGTCATAATAACGTGCGATTGCGGCTGGTGTGGCATTTCCCATGGCGTGCGTCATTGAAAAGCGCCCTCAGTGAAAGGCGCCGCAACAAAAGTAGACAAAGGTTATGCAGTGACCCGATGCTTTTCGGCTTTTTCGTCTTTTGGCAAGACGTCACGTGTCAGTTCAGGCGTACGTTTCCAAAGGCGTTTCCGTTGTGCGTTGTGTTTTTGTTGTTTTTCAGCATGAGTACGAGTGGTCTTTTTTCAGCAGCCTGCGTTAATCTCCCGCGGACTGAAACCGTGGTCATTTTTTTAGGGGGAAGCAGCTCTGGGCGAACCCAATATCTGTAGATATAAGTGGATAAATACCCATGGATATAGGCACGGATCTCTGTTTGCTCAAAGTACACGACAGGGTTTTCTACCATGGGCACGTCATTAAAGCTAAACTCACAGCGAAAATACGGCAATAACACAGCCTGTAACGTTTGAACGCACGCAATACTGTGCATCCGGAAACACACTTTCAGCTACGTATGGGAAGCGCTTTATCAAGGCACCGGGGTACGAGATGATACGGTGGCATTCAACCGTCGGAAACACGGTCGACAGCACACTGCCTCAGCCCCAGCTTCCGCTAGACCGCCGTGACCCAGCCAAATTCCATGGGCGTGTGATTCATGAGCGACGGCGAGATATGAACATCCGATGGTCAAATTTAGCTTGCTTAGGGCACATTTGGCTCCCGAAATAACCGAACGCCAGCTGAGCGAGGGTCGGGCGTCTCGGCCAGACTCGGGGCCGTCACCCAGGCGAGGCCTGGTACGGACCGGCCCGAGCGTGTTATTCATTTGAATAAGATGGAAAAGAGGGCTTTTCCACGTGGAGCACCGACGTACCGATAGACCACATGCAATACCAAAGGATCGCTGACATTACCAGTTCGGTACCGTTTCGGGCGTTCGAAACGGAGCCAAATTTTTTGAGGAAATGAATTCAGCTACCATTGATAAGATTTTGTTTGGAAAGAGTTCCTCACTAAACAACAATTTCTGTCAAGCTAGGTGCCGAGTAATCTGTTAACATGCCGAATTTAAGTTGGTATTGCCACAAAAATATCATGAACGCCTTGGTAACGCATGCACTGGGTGTTTATTTGCACATCAAAAACTGCCGAGCGGCTGATATTGACTAATATTTCGAAAATTATCGACCTAATGCATTCAGTCTGCATTCACAACGCTGTTACGTGGAAGCGCCCTGGTGAAACGCACGCGAGGCAGCCGCGGCGAAGACTGGTGGTGGTAACTGGTGCTTCCCGCAGCGGCCGAGGTGGCGCCACCGCCCAACGGTTCTCAATGAGATGGCGCTACTGCCGTGCAGTTTTGACAAGGCAATGACTACGGTAGCTGGGAAATAGCAGTGCCGGCGAGCGGCACCAGCGCTGGAATGAGCCCGCAGCAGCAAAAGTTGAAAATTTTCAGTGTAGTTCTCAGCTTGATAATTGGTCAAATGCTGCTCTTGAAAAAATTATAGCTAAGGATAGACGAAAAATGTATCCATTTCGCTTACAAGCTTTGACTCAGGTCAGGTTTGATGAACACTCAGTCTCACCCTCAAGTTATGATGAACGGATGTGCAAAATATTCCAGCTAAACAGAAACGGACGCTTCCCCCCCCCCCCCCCCCACCCAGCCTCACCCCCATCCGGAGCCATCATGTCATACGGGCAGGAGTGCATGTGAAGTCTTGGCGAGGTGACACTGCCCACACCTCGAATTCTAAAAGAAACCTTTAGAAACCTCTTCCAGCTATCTTAAATCTGTGCCAATAGACGCGAGAAATGCCAAAAACTCCCCGTTTTTCCGAATTATTGTTGGGAGTTCTCACACTGGCAAAGGCGACCTTCACGGTACCAATAGGTACTGGCTGCGCGACCCTAGCGAGCAAGCGTTCGTCATATTGCAAAAATGAACTTTCCAAGCTTTGCATATTGTCATGAGTTAACCAGCTGAAGCAAAAATGCAAACGCAAGTTCAAGGAAGGCTTACACACCCTTACGCAACTCATGGTAAATCGTCACATGCCAGTGGCGCACACCTCAAATTCGAACTTTATAGTAGAAACATCGCTGTCAATGCTCGCGGGCATATTTGAGAGGGTCACAATTTCTTATCGTGAAAAAACAATAGATGTTCCAGTGTGAAACCTGATGTACCAGCCCTGCTTCGAACAGCACCCAGGTATGTCAACCAGCTCATCGCTACTTCCAACAAACAACACGCTTTCTGCCAGCTATCTCTTTTACCCCACTCTGTGGCCCCTACACCCCTTCACATTTTCCCGCTGGATTTCAGGCATTTCAGTTTCAGATTTGGTAAAGGGGGTGATTTGTGTTATTGTGATATTCATCACTGACATTTTCACATGCCCTGATGCGAGAGCCAAATGTTAAACATACCACTAGACTAATTTCCTTTAGTGTATAACATTTTCGTATTGGCTGCATAGCATTATTCTTCATATGCATATCACGATCACATGTATTTCTTTTATACGAGGATAAAGAAACACATGCCTCATCAACTTCCTGCAACATTCCCAGCATCCGATTCATGCCGACCGCTTTTACGATCACGATGCAAAACAAAGACACTAATGTTGCGGGAGATGCTGCAGTTCTCTGAGTGCCTACCAGAATTTCATATCTCCCATCGGACCTGCATTGCAGCGAGCCCTCAGGTCTGCGCGCTGAGATGGGCAGCGACGGTGTCCTCGATCCAGCTGGAGAACCTGCCGATGTTGGTGTAGCGGAAGACTTCAGAGCAGGGCTCGCGCAGGCGGGACCAGGGCACCATGCCGACCAGCGCCCAGCGTGACCGGTCGGACGGATAGCGACACGCCATCAGAGAGCCGACGTCCGCCCAGCACTCGCCGGCGGCGGTCTGGCCGCACACGAAGCCCTCGTGCAGCGGCGGACGGAACGGCTGCGTGCGACGCAAGGAGGTCAGGCACGCGTCGCGGGAGACGAAGCGGACCGGCTGGTGCAGCACCGAGTCGAACGTACCCTTGCGCGGATCGGTCCAGCCGTGCAGCACACAGTCGCCGCGCTCCCAGTCGGCCGCCTGCTGCTCTGCCGTCTGCAGGCGGTCGGGCAGGCAGGCGAGCCCCACTTCGTCGCCCAGTGCGGCCGGCGGCTCCAGCAACAGCAGCGCCACGTCATTTTGTACGTCGTTCTCGCCGACGCGCCGAAAGTTTGGGTGGTAGACGACGCGCGCGACCGCGTGGTCGGACGCCGGCCGCCCGAAGTCCACGGTCTTGCCGAGATTGAACTCGGCCAGCCGCACGGTGAGCGTGAACTGACGCAGCTCCGCGCCCTGCAGGCAGGCGGCCGAGGTGAGCACGGCGCTCGGGTGCACGAGCGCGCCGCCACAGATGGGCAGCGGCGAGTCGGCGCGCTCCGCCGGCGCGCCGCGCACCGACGCCAGCCACGGGAACTCGCCGAACCAGCTGACCTTCGTCTGATTGAGGAAGCGCGGCAGGAACCGACCGGTGGGTTGCTGCCCGTCGGCTGGGTCGCAAATGCTTTGCAAGCCGCGTTCGTGGCGCAGCCCACAGCTGGGCTGGCCGGGCGGCACCAGCACCGTCTGCAGCAGCTCGGCCAGCGTCACTAACAGCTGTACCTCGGTCGGGCCCAACGCCATAGCGGCTGAGGTCCTGCGAAACAGTGGCCGCGTGAGGGAGAGACAGATTTTCTCTGCAGTTCATCGCTTGATGTTATTCATGTACAATTCAGCACGAACCATGGAGGGATCATGCGGTCTTTTCCTTAAAAGGCCGGCGGTGCAGAAACTCCCAAAAGAACTATTAAAACGTCAAGTATCGTTCAGCTAAAGATCGAAAATATCGTCCAACGGTGCAGACGTCAGGGCAGATCTCCCAACTGAAATTAATCGGATACTTTAAGAAGGAAATACATCTGACGTGCAGCTTTCTAAACCGCATGGGCAACATAAAAAGTCTTATAAGCGAAATGCGCATTCGAATATAACGAGTCCTGTTCAGGGGTAAGCTTTCTTGTGCAGTTCGGGGGACGGGGGCTTCAGCCCCTTCCCAGCCTGGGCTCCAGCCCCCTCCCCTCCATCTGTCTATCTATAGATAGGTGCAGTAAGAGTGAACATTCGGGCAAGATAGCGGGAGTTATCATAGATGCATCAGTTTCTTAACGTTTCGATACTCTTGGATGCCATCATCAGGACAGAGCATGCATTCTTACAGGATGATGAAACAATGCTACATTAAAGACACATCGCTAGGTCATATCGCATGTATAGTTCACGGCATGTAAGTCCATGGTCAGAGTTCGCACCATCAGGCACAACCAAGGCAAGAGAAACACTAGCACACGAGTACGACACTTGTCCACACGCAAGCAGGTCAGGCTGAGAAGCAAAATCACGCGGCGAACGATCTTTAAGACTTCGTATGAGACCAACGTTTTCTGATATGTCTGCCTTATCTCATCATATATAATGCATGCTCCAATCAATTCAAATGTGGAATATTCTCTTTAACGCGAGAGTCAAACATAATTGGATATCTGAGATCAGCGAAAAGTCAGAGTTCGAGAGAATGTGCATGCTCCTGTTCCCGGGATTCGTCCTATGCTGGAAATATCGATAAACGGGAAGATCTGGCGGGCTGTTGCAATCATATACCGTATGATGCATACAACATATCATGCACCATACGCTGCAACTGGAGTTCCTGCCCGTGCCATCCCCAAGTTCTGCATAGGAGCCTCTCTGGCACCAGCTGAACTGGCCCTGAACATCGGACTTGTCGACACGCTGGCCGATATCGGGGCGACCTCATCTGCACCCCATCCACGGTAACGACTCTCACCGGCGTCGACACGCTGGCTGATATCGGGGCGACCTCACCTGCACCCCGGCCGCGGTAACATTGACTGTTACCGGCGTCGACATGCTGGCCGATATCGGGGCGACCTCATCTGCACCCCGGCCACAGTAACCTTGACTCTTACCGGCGTCGACACGCTGGCCGATATAAGGGCGACCTCATCTGCGCCCCGGCCACCGTAACCTTGACTCTTACCGGTCGCAGGCCGGTAAGAGTCAAGATTGTCAAGTCAAGTCAAGTCAAGCCAAGTCAAGAGAAGAAGTCAAATCAAGAGAACCTTGACTCTTGCCGGCCTGCGGCCGGTAAGAGTCAAGGTTACCGAGACGTCGCGAGCGACTATGGCCGCTCGCGCCGTCCGGGCGCGGCAGGCGGAGTGCTAGCGTCACGCGCTGGAACTGTAGCGGCAGACAGGCGCGGCGGCGCTCTTCTCCGGACAGCCACCGTCGGGGCCTGCTGGTGGGACTTATCAACAGCCAGTCCCTGCTGCTGACGACGGCTCCACTACAGCATGTCCATCTACATCGGCTGCATCACGGATTCTGTGTTATCGCCGAGACGTGGCTTCCATTCGCCACTGCGTCCATGCGGGTCGCATTCCCTGGCTATGCACCGTACAGTGCAGACCGGCCAGGAGAAGTCCTCTGGGGATATGTGGTGATTTTGAGCCGTGACCCTTACCAAGCTTCTGTCGTCACAAACCTGGCATCTGAGCGCTAGGAATAGCGGCTAGAGTCCCTCTGGCTGCGGGTGACACCAGAGTCTGGCCCCACTGTGGCTGCGGTCAGCCGACCCCCGTCGCGCTGTGGCTGTCCTTCAGGCGGACTTCGGCGAACTGGGGCTGTACTATCAGCGAGCAATTCTGCAGCAGCCCGGAACAGATCGTCATCGTAGGTGATCTAAATTGTAATGTACTGGAGCCTGCAAACAACGTTGGAGAAGACCGGCTGAATAAGATGCTCCGTTCGTTTCATCTGCACAGGTTTGTCGGACATTCCATCTTTTCTTCCGGGCCACTTTTAGACATGGTCATTTCTAATTGAGATAACAACTGGCGGCGTGTTGGAACTTTTCACTGTGCTGTTAGCCCTCACCACTTTGCTTGCGCACTCTCATTGTTGCCAGGGTGTCGTGTCGTGCCTTAGTGCCGATCCGTATCAGCAATCTACTTTTGAAATATGTTCATCATGTTTGTTTGCTCCGTGTTTTGTACTGTGTCGGCTGGTCTGATGTTTTTAGCCACCCATCAGCCGCTGATACGTGATCCCATCTGCTTGACTGTCTGCTACCGATCGTTGACAAACAAGCACCTGGATAAAGGTCAAAGCTCCGGTCAAACTCATGCTGCGTTTCGCACTGCGTACGGAATGCAAGCTCTGACTTAGAGAGAACCCAGATGCGCCAGCTGTCGCCTCACGGCCGGCGCGTAAAGCGCAACAGATCATGCATCGTCTTTATAGGGGAGCTATACATGAGATTACGTAATTACCAGCATGGCCGCGACAACACGGCGTGACAAGGATGTCAACTCACTCACGGCAGCTGACGATTGATGCACGTTTTCCTGTTCTCTGGGGTAGCTCTGGAAGTCGTTTCCTTTGTAGAAGAGGTCACGGCAAGCGTGCGGGTCCTGCACAACGCGCAGTGGCCGGGAAGTCGAGACGCGACTCAAGATGAGCGCAGAGAGCACCAAGGATTAGCGGCCATTGCAGCCCGGTGGAGCGTAAAAACCGGTTCTGGTGCTGCCGGACAAACCGGTGTGACTAGGATACGGCTGCCATCAGAGGCAACGCGGCAGGGGAAGGGGGGGGGGGGCAGAGTGACAGTCCCTCCTCCATGCCAGCAGGCAGGAGGGGGCAGGAGTGTGTTTTGCCCATCAACATTTGGGGGGGGGGGGCCCATTTGTCAAAATTAAAGGCTTTGTAGCTCACGCTGATAACCAAAATGCAGATGAAGAAGGGCCCACAACTGAGTTAGTTTGTACTAAATCGGGCTCAGAACATCATTTTCTACATCCAGAGATCTTGTCTCTGAATCATGGCACCGCCTCTATTTGACATCAGCTGATGCTCCACATACGTACGTGATTATTACGTGCCATTAGTCTGAGAGATCACACAGCATGTCAAAAAGCAACGGAAACGGATAGGGGATAAAAAAAACACATAAACGTATGTACGCATAAACAGCAAGAGACAATCCGTCCGCACAAAAAGAGACCTGGGAGCGAGCGTAAAACTTGTTGAATTCAGTCGTCCAACATCCACAGGCCATCAGGGGACCATTAGGAACCATTAACTACTGAACTACTCGATGACGCCGCAGCTTTCGTCAAAATTGACAGCAGTCGTGATCTTCGGGTCAAATAAAGTCAAACAAGGTCAAATTCCAGGCTGGCTTCCAAACGGCCCATTGAACCTAAATATTCGTTCTAAACAGAAGGTTCCACGCTCATTTGAGGCCAGTGGCCTTGCTTGACCTTTTAAAGGTAATGGTGACAAAAATCATACAAGACTGCTTCGAGTTTTGAATTTGAATAACCAACAAAGACTACACTAGGCAATATGTTCCTAAAAACAAAATGTTGACCTGGGTCATTTTAGGTCAGTAACCTATTCAGACCTCTAAGAAATCAATGGAAGGTGTATGATGTGATTTTTGTGATCAATTAATTTGAAATGACCACCAGAAACTACCCCATGCATCAAGTGCTAGAGTAATAAAACAGATTGGTTTCGACCTTGGGCTGACCTTCATATCTGACCCTAGGTCGACGTAACTTGTTCAATCATTTGTTCTGTTACCTAAGAAAGTATCTCAGAGATAAATGGTCTCGTCTTACACTCTGTTGTTGGATCAGATTGAGTGATTCCAGAGAAACTGCCTTCGCTGAAGCTATAGCCTGACTTTCCTGTCCATTACCTAGCGTTGACCTATCCATTATCTAACATTGAATCCATTGCCCAACGTTGACCCACCAAAAGTCAATGATCTTACAATATAAATATAATTTGGTGATGCCAGACGATTCGCTACGCAATTTTTTACAGCTGTGAAAAACGTGGCGAGGCTATGCTGCGCCATTCGGAAACTATTTCGGAAAATCCTTGAAGCGAGGGGGGGCTCAATTTGACCCCTCACCCGAGCGCACGTTAACATCAGCCTTCATCCACTTAGCAAAACGCCCCCACAATAGTCCCCTGGACACATACGCGCCGTTCCAAATTTTAGTATGCAACGCGGGAGGGGTGGCATGCATTTGACCACAACTGTGGAGTGAAGATGCAAATTCAACTGTTCAATAATTTTCAACAATGCTTGCCAGATGGCGTGACCTTGACCCATTGCCGCATCCTCATTTGCACTTTCAAAATTGACATTTTAAATGAAACACCTTATATTACCTACCCTTTTCCCAACGCTAGTCCGGAAACAACCTTGGAGACCTACGGACTTACGCCCAGATCCAGGGAGCTAGAATCGCTTTTGAACCAGGGTGGGAGTGAAAAATTCCATCGCAAAAAGACCGTGCGGGCGTGAAAAAATCCATTCACAAAAGACGGAACTTATGAGCTCGTGACGGATGCTTCAGAAAACAAAGACATCTATTTCAAGTTGGCATGGACGTAATATCATAAACCTGGCCAAACTATTTCGTTTTTTAACATCTTAGGCCATTAAAGTGGAACAGAATACATTAACACGCGCTTGGGTGGGGTGGGGGCAAACTGACCCCCTCCCCCCGAGGGCTTTTCCCGAATGGTTTTTGAACAGCATTTTGCATAGCTGTAGAAAACTCCACAGCAGATCGTTTGACATACCAATTTTAGATGTACCTTGTAACGTCGCTGACTTATGACAGGTCAAAGTCAGCCCATGGTCTCAGCAAAGGCAATTTCTAGGGAATCGTTCAATCTGATACAACAACGGAGTGTTTGACGAAGACATAAACATCTGAGATGCTTTCTCATGCACCGCAAATATTGAATGAGCAAATTACGTTGACCCAACGCCAGGTATGATGGTTCGACCAAGGTCAAAACCAACCTGATTTATTACACTAGGGGTTGCTGTATGGGTTAGTTTCTGGTGCTCATTTCGAATTTACTGACAGCAGGAACCGCATTAGACATTTTTAATTGACTTCTTAGAGGTCAAAACAGGCCATTGACCTGAGACGACCCGGGCTGAACCCTTTCTTTTAGAAACATACTGCCGAGCGTAATCTTTGTCGCTTATTCAAATGAAAACGCAGAGCAGTCTTGTATCATTTTGGTCACTTTGACCTTCAAAGGGTTAAACAAGGTCAGTGACCTCAAATGGGCTTGTGACCTTTTGCTTAGAGACAGTTGCCTAGGTTCTGGGGGCGCTTTGGACACCAACCTGGAATATGACCTTGTTTGACCTTATTCGACCTGAAGGTCATGACCTAGGAAGCTGGAACCATAACCTAAGTGAGTTCACATATAGGTCAAGACACACTGCAAATTTGGTGTCTCTAGCTTTCTTAGTTCCCGAGATCTCAGAGGGGGGTCAAATTACCCCCCCCCCACACCCGAGCGAAGGGTATCTAGCCGGCTAACCGGGCGCGTGTTAAAACATAGTAATGTCTTGACAGTATTATCAGCATAACAAATTATTAACACCAATCATTTGATGCTGCACTTTCAATTCCCTTCCAAAGCACTTTTAAAACAAAACAATGCAAAGCAAAGCAAATTCAATAGCAACATAACAACAGAAAATTCAACAAGCATAAAACACTCAAACAAAAAAACATTGGACTCCTACACATCAGCCCAGCACCAAGTCAAACACAATAGACATACTTCTGGATTTAAGGTGGGGTCAGGAAAAACAAACATTTTGTCGCTGTTTCTTACAAAATACCAATGCTTATTTCCATGAGAGAACCCTAGGCCTAACCTTAAGAGGCCTTACATCATCTCATCCTGTATAACCTGTTTGTATCACAGCAGCAGTTGTGAGCTAATGATTCTTGCACAATTCCTATTGCCACTTGCCATGCACTTGACCAGCTTAACCTAACTTAGAGTAGCCCATATGATGAACATCATCTCAACTCACCTATCTGTGTACAGCAGCACTTGTGATAAAAATGTGATATTTAAAGGTAGTTTTTGGCTGGTTTCAACTTGCATTTGTATTCAGTTCATTTTTGCATGCTTGTTGACATTAGACAAAGTTGAGAACATCCAAATTAAAACACTTTAAATTACTTTGAACAACATATTTTGATTGTCATAGTTAGCCTATGTCACAGGCAAAAATGGGCATGCTCCACAAAACAATCTCTCTTCTCCAAAGTAGCATAACTTTTAGATGACCATGCCAGTATTGCTGCTTGCCTTTTCAGCTGCAGCAAATGCATCCATTTGGGCTTGTTTATTCATATTTAATCACAAAGTCTGAGATATTGGCTTCAAATTTTAAATGGGGTGGTCTGACTAGTTTGTCACCTAAAAATATTTAACCCATATTATGATTGCTATGTCACTTAGAGTATCCCTTTGTTAAAAATATAGTGCATATAAACAGTACAGACATTTGCCGGTCAGCAAACCATGACAACTATAGAAAACATCTGGTCAAAGCAGCCATGAGGAGCCACTTAAGAAATTTGGGGCAAACAACCACAAACATGTAACAAAATAAGCCAATTGCATGCCTTGAGGCATCATAATTGTCTTATGGCAAAACTTGATGCATCAAAACAAAAATGCCTAACTCCCGTTACCAATCATATGTTGAAAGCAGGTAAGGCAACCAATTACTTGGTCCACAGCAGACTTGCCGGCTTCTTCCTGCTCCCCAAAAACAAAAATTCAGTACCTTTTGCATGGTCTGCTGGCATACAGAGTCATCCCACTCACCACCTAAATATAAGTATCAATCATGCCCACCAACCTTCGAGATTGAAATGGGAAACAAGAGGCGCGCATGATAAACATCTCTACAGGGCAGAATTTCGCCATCAAACACTTCTGTATTAGCTGCGTCAGGTCTGTCCCAAGGCTCTTTATGGCAGCATATTCTAATGCTGCCATACAGAGGCAGCATTAAGCAAGGCTATTTTAAGCCTTGCCAGGGAGCATGGTAAGTCAGAAACTCGAAAAGCTTGGATTTATCCTTATTAAAAACCGCCATGAACCAAAAAAACACTAATGGAAGGCTTAAGAGGGCAACAATGGCGGTAAAAATAAGTTTCGTGCTTCAACTTGTCTCCTTCATTCCCTGTGAATTGTTCACGCTTGGGTGCATATCAAACATGCTTGGGTGGCTGGCGAATTTATCCAATATGTATAAAATTCGTACCAGCTTGCAGTTGGAGCTTCTTGCAGAGAAATTGGTCAACATTTTAAGCAGCAGATGGTACCTCTAGAGGCAATCAAAAGGGAAGGAAGAATAAAGTGGTATCATACTGGTGTGATACCAAGCAAAGCAAAAGTAGCTAGGTAAATATAAAGACTGGTACTTCTCTCGCAAAATTTTGTAATCGGCCGATTTGACTTAAATCTATTAATACTAGTGCTCAAATGGTGATATTCATCTTGTAAGTTTAAATTAGAAGACATTTCTTGAACCTTTCTTTCTTGCATTTCGGGAGCGGTGTAATTTAGTAGTCAAGTTTTCTCGGGAAAAAAGAAGCACGTGGAGTAAAATTCTCTACCAGGTTGCTGGCGTTTGCACCAGCCTCTGCTTTCGTCGTGTGGTGGTGAGGCAAAACAAGGGGGATGCATGAAAACCTTGCATTTGGCGCACAGATGCAGATTGTGATGCATTTTGTAAACAAACCAAACTTAATGCGTGCAAGCGGCTGGGGTCGCTCGAGTTCTTGGGCTTGGAAGTACCTGGCGCCCTTGCTCTGTGCATACATAGACATGACTCAGATGTATGTGGGATAGGACATAGCCATAGGTGTCCAGGTTCTGCGGAGCCTCGTTTATGCTTGGTGGTTTCAAGTGAGCTTGGCTTTGGATGACATTTGAAAACCTCAAAAAGGGAAATAGGGGTTTGGCATGTGCGATTAGACAATGTCAGGCAGGAGTGAAAAATTTACATAAAATGTGGGGAAAAGGAGTGAAAAATTCCTTCTCATAGGGTGCTACTTTACACCCAAAGTCGGCAATTCTAGGAAACTGCCCAGATCTGATCTCAGCCTTCTCGCTGACGTCATTTGAAGTTTTGCCTTACCGCAATTTGAACGATTCCTTGGGGACGGGCTGGTCTGTCTGCTTGATGCGAAGATCGGCGATGAGCACGAAAGTGCAGGAATGTGCAAGGCGATAGAACAGGAAGGTATAACCGTCCGGCCAAATTCCGCCGTTTCGATTAATAACGTCACAAGTGTACTCGGCACGTAATGGTCAACGGCGGATGCATGCCTACCGCAGTTTGCTTGGCTTTTTGAAAAGGTTCTAAGGCTGGAAGCCGTTAATTATTTTTGCCTAGATCATAACATGACTATTTCCTGTCCCAACACGCCATAATATGAGCTCCAAGGTCTATTAACACGCACCCAGGTGGCCGGCTAGATACCATTCGCTCGGGTGGGGGTCAATTTGACCCTGCCTAATATCTCGGGAACTAAGAAAGCTAGAGACACAAAATTTACAAGGTATGCTGACCTGTACGTGAACTCAGTGCTATCACGGTTTGAGGTTCCTAGGTCATGACATTCAGGTCAAACAATGTCAAACAAGATCAAATTCCAGGTTGGTCTCCAAAGTGCCCCCAGAACCTAGGCAACTGTTTCTAAGCAAGAGGCCACAAACCCATTTGAGGTCAGTGACCTTGTTTGACCTTCTCAAGGTCCTGGTGACTAAAATCGTACAAGACTGCTCTGAGTTTTGCATTTGAATAAGTGACAAAGATTACGCTTGGCAATATGTTCCTTAAACAAAATGTAAATCCAGATCATATTAGGTAAATGACCAGTTCTGACCTCTAAGAAGTCAATGGAAGATGTATAACGCAGATTCCTGCCGTCAGTGAATTCAAAATGAGCACTAAAAACTATCCATTTCTTCAAAAAGTATATGCTCTTTGGCTAAGAAAGGATGCTGTGCTGCGAACATATTGATGCTTCAATGGGCCAGTTCAAGGTCATTCCATAGGTTGGCATGACAATTTGGTGCATTTATGCTATACATTGTTCAAAATATTTTCACATCCAGTCTGCTCGTGTTATGCAGCTTAAACATCGGCTACAATCTTTTTCTGGTCAGTACATGCTCAAAATGTAGGTAAGATGCCAAGATGAGGTCATACGAGGTCAACCTGACACATGGTAGGCTAGTCACGTCATGCATGTTTCCGGATGGCCTCCCCACAGGAATCCAATAAAATCACTTTTAATCTGGCATCGGGTCATGTTAGTTGCTAGAGATCAAAACCTGCTGTTTGTCAAAACCTTCTCTGACCTTTGAAAGGCATTCAATAGCCATGGGCAGGCTCGGGAGATTGATTTTCAACCTGCTGTGGAAATAGCCACCACTCTGCTCATATCTTGTTTGAAATGCAAACTTCCTAATTTGCAAAGCAGTAGAACTATTTTGTAACGTCTAGACATCATCCAGTGCACAGACCACCTTCATTTATGCATGAATAATGGGCTCTAGCATGATTTCCTCAATACCAAGAGCAGCCACACAATGTCCTTATTCTTAACATCAACAACAATGGGGAATAGGTGAAAGACCTGGTCACATCATCCCATTTCTGTGCAGCATGCATAGTTCTTACTACTGGTAGCTTGTGCCACAGATGCTTGTCCAAGATGATTTGGGCTGCGTCGGCATCACAGCTCACAGCAGCAACAGTCTTCTGACAGTTTTTTCACTGTTAGGATTGCAGACGCCCCTCTTTCCAGCCCCCTCTTAGGCACCTGTCTCTGACAATTTCATTGCAGGCCCATAACAGATTCAAAGCAAAAAAAAGTTGAGTGATCTAATTATCATCAGCTTTTATGGGAATAACTAGTCTTTATGATACCTTTTATATAATTGGACCCATAAAACAACTTAGTAAGCCTGGACTTCAAAGCATATAATGGAACAGCTGTAAAAATTTCCATATCTATCACTTCCCTGGAAATCATTTTTCCTTCACCACATAATGTTGCTTATGTGCACCAGCATACCTAAGGAAGATGATGTGACAATAAAAAATTATGTAACATGGAATTCAGGTCACCAACAACCATGATATGTAATCAGATAGGATTGCAACTCAGCTCTTTCCATAAATATTTGCAGCATTGTAAGGTTTGCTAGCTGTCATTAATGTCAGCCTAATATTGCATGCCTCCAAATGCTTTCAACAGAAATCAAAAATACAGGCTTAGTTATCTGAGTAGTGTCAGGATTAATTGAAGAGATGCATCAGCTTTACAATACAACAACAATATGATATATTTTGTACCACCAGGTTCATACATGTCTGCAAATGCAGCCATAGAAACACAACACACAAAGACACACACACACACACAAGCATAGCTCAAGACAGCGGGCAAGGCACTCGCAACTCGCTGTAACTAGCGGCCCAATGCCACCTTACACTAGAATCATTAAAACAGAAAACCCTGCGCCTTTAACATTGCCAACAGGTTTACATATGGCTACCGTACACACAAGCAGCATCTTGCGCAACACACTTCTTTAGCTTTCGTGCATAATACACAAAAGCTTTGAACACATCACAACTTGGGTTCAATTCACATCACAACAATTAAGCTTTGAACACATCACACCTAAATCCAGCAATCACTGCCCCAATCCCCCACAAAGCATCAATAACGTAAGCTGAACAAAAGTAAACAGCACGAGGTGACGCGATTCAAGGTTGGTGAAATTATTTTGTCTCTTCCGCGCCGCGCATTTGACACTTAGCAAAAATGAACCTATGGCGATACACAGGGATGGCAGGGGCTGGGAATGTGTTTGGGAAGTTGACGTGTGGTCACGGGTGGTTGCGTTGCGAAGCTGTCATTTAACTACTTAAATGAGCTGTGAGGCAAAAGCGAGAGTCCCCCTCACTGTAGAGGACCACTCGTCCGATATTGATGCTGAAAGTGACAAGCGGGCAAAAACACCATCAAGTCTCCACTCAAATGCAGTCGGCGATAATGGCATGGGAGACAATGGTAAGTTATGCGATATCTAGGTGCTTAAGATGCGTAACGTCGATAAATCGGACACCATTGCTGTATAGAGGTCGACACATCAAGTATTACACAAATGGCAGCAAGGTTTGGTTGGTTGTGACTAACTGCACTGTGCATTCAAAACACGCCAACATTTTCAAAGTAGTGATATTACCAGCTGATGTATCTTGGTATCATCACTAGCTCTGAGGCAGATTAGCAGCAGCAGAAATATTGCACCCCTGGTAGGCAGGAAAGCAGCTCTGCATATGGAAATAATTTTGGCATTCTGTTAATGATGCTGAAAATGCACATGAAAATGACTGGACATAGTGAGGTATAAGGCAGGAACAAATAACTCATTAGATGTTGTGTGTGGATTAGTCAATGCTTTTGCAGTTAACTAGGTAAAAACATCTATATAAAATGTAATGTTGGAATGTAATGTGTGTAGTTCCTGAAAACTTAACAGCTCCAGCATCTGGCAGGGTATTGCAATGCATGATTATTGCTGGTTGTTGTCATGGAAAGATGTAAACTCTGAAGGGTCAGGGTTTACTTTCCTACCTAACGTTAGAAAAAATCATTGTACGCCATTCGTCGTGCTTAAGGCATGACATATCGTAAATAATCTCAAAACAGGTAGAATCATGCTCCTACCTTCGAATTTCAATAACTTCGATGACGGGCCCCCAAGCGCCGCGCGCACCGCACCGCCTGGACTCCCCAGCGCCGTTTCCACGTTGCCGTTGCGTAAATACAATATTTCTGCGTACCAAGAGCTGTACAAAATGTACGGGACCAATGTAAACCATTTGTCATGTTTAAGGCAAGACAACCATAACCTAACTGCGAACCATAAAAATATTTACTAAACATAAACCATATTTACCATAACCATATTTACCATATAAACCATATTAACTGCAAACCATACTATAAACCATAACTATAACTATAAACTATACTATATAAACCATACTATAACTATAAACCTATTAAAATTCGAGGGTAGGAGCATGATTCTATCTGTTTTGAAATTATTTACGATATGTTCCGCGTTAAACACGACGAATGGTTTACCTTGGTCCCGTACATTTTGTAGAGTTCTTGGTAAGCAGAATTATTGTATTTACGCAACGGCAACGCAGAAACGGCGCTGGGGAGTCCAGGCGGTGCGGTGCGCGCGGCGCTCGGGAGCTCGCCATCGAAGTTATTGATATTCGAAGGTAGGAGCATGATTCTACCTGTTTTGAGATGAGTTACGATATGTGCCGCCCTGAACACGACGAATGGTATGCAATGATTTTTCCTAACGTTAGGTAGGAAAGTACACCTACACCACTCTGAAGTACCATATTTGAAATGAGTATGACCATTTTATGGTCAATAACAATGTGTATCTTACTGCAAGCACGGACAGGATTTAGGTGTTCACATTATTTGTGGTATGGACTGGAATCTAGTCACAAAGATGAATTGCATTGCTGTTTTCCTTTCTGAAGCTAGTCACTGGGTTTTGAATATTCCTTCAAAATCAGAAATAAGGGGATTAGTTGTATATTTTCTTTTGATGGATAATTTGTGATGTGATTTCTCCTACAGGTGCAGAATATCCCAATGAATGGCAGCCATGTGTGGATGAATCCTCTGGCTACACATACTACTGGAATCCAGCAACCAATGAGGTGTCCTGGGAGGTCCCAGTGGACTACAGCAGCCTGCTCCGGCCTCCACCACCCCCTCCCCCACCTCCCCCACCTGACCCATGTACTCAACAGCACAGGGAAGATGGGTGAGCATAGAATACAACATTGATAAGCAATGACATCCATGTAGTACTAATGACTTAGGTGCCACCTTCGTTTGTGTAGAGGTTTAAATTGCTGTCACCATAACACTTTAATGTAATTATTGTAAATAATCCCAACTTGGTAGGCATATGCACAGCTTTTTTCAAAAGTTCTGAAATATGGATCACTGAGCTGTTTATCCATGTGTAAATTGATCCAGCCATGGTGTTAAACATTGCCTGGCTGGTGTCACCTGATGGTCACCATGACATGATTTTTTAGATAGATGTGTGATACCTCTGTGGCCTTAACCACTGTGCTTCTAGAGCTGACAAGCACAGTGCAAATTGCTAACAATGTGGTTTGTTTGCCAGGATCCAGCTGATCACTTCCTATGGTGGGGACTCCTCTGAGTCAGAATCAGATGATGAGCCAGCCCGACCAGCTCGTCGCGCGGCTGCGCGCCCCCGATCGCCGTCTCCGAGGAAAAGTCCCCAGCCCTCGTCCCCGGAGTACGGTCCGCAGCTGCCGCCCGCGGAGCATGGTCCCCAGCTTCCGCCCCCAGAATACGGCCCCCAGCTGCCTCCCGTGGAATACGGCCCTCGGCTGCCGTCTCCGGAGCCGGACTCCCGGTCGGCGGAGCCGGGCGGCGCGGCCTCTCCCGAGCGCGGGCGCCGCTCCCCGTCGCCGCCGCCGCCGCCGCCGGCCAGCCTGTCCATGGGCCCGTTTGGCACGACGGCTGCGGCGTTCGTGGGGCCCGTGCTGCCGGTGAAGCTGGCGTCGCCCCGCTCAGGCTCCGGCGGCGGCAGCTCGGGGTCGGCGGACGAGGCCGAGGAGGCGGCGCTGCTCGAGCAGCTGCGCGAACGGGCCGCGCAGCTGCGCCGACTGGGCGGCGAGCTGCCCAGCGGCGTGGAGCGGCTGGTCACCGAGCCGGCCGGGCCGGACGACCCGATGCTGCGCCTGATCGCCGACATCGAGGCTGAGGTGCCGCCCGACGCCAAGCCGCAGCCGCAGCCGGAGAAGGAGCGGGAGCCGAAGTCAGCCGCAGCTAACAAGCCGTCGCGGAAGCGGCGGCGGCGGGCCCGCGCCCGTCCGGCCGGCGCGGACGGGCCGCCGGCTAAGGGCGCCCGGCTGGAGGCTGTCGCCGCCGCGGGCAGTGACGACATCATCTCTGCCATCGAGAACGAGCTGCCGCCTGACTACGAGCCCATGCAGGCTCCGAGCGCTGTCGAAGAGCCGGCCGTCGACTTTGATCCTGCGCTGGATATCATCTCGGCGATCGAGAAGGAGCTGCCGCCGGACTACGAGCCGGTGTCGGAGCCCGCCCCTCCGCCAGCGGAGGCTCAGGACCCTGCACTGGACATCATCTCGGCCATCGAGAATGAGCTGCCGCCGGACTACGAGCGGCCGCCGAGTGCCCAGTCGGGTTCGGCGCCCGGCTCTGCCGCCGCGGTCGAGCACTCGACTGGCCCGGGCGCGCCTGGAAGGAAGGCCACGCCGGCCAGTGCCGCAGTGAAGCCGACCGCCGGCGCCCGACGCCGCTCCCGCTCCGTCCAGGGCATGGGTCTAATTGCCGCCTACGGCTCCGACTCTGACTCCGACTCCGAGTCCGACTCTCAGAGCGGCTCAAGGTCCGGCTCGGACTCGGGCTCCGGCTCGGGCTCAGGCTCGAACTCGGGCTCCGGCTCTGGCTCCGAATCGGGCTCCGGCTCGGGGTTGGACTCGCGGAGCCGCCGGTCGGCAGCCCGCGGGGCCCACGCACCAGCAGCGGCGCCCGCTGAGCCGGCCGCGTCGCTCGCGCTGGGACCGGAAGACCCCACGCCGCCGCGACCGGCCTCCCCTTCTACGGCGGTGCCTAGCGTAGGCAGTTCTAGCCCGCCGCCTCCCGCCGACGTCGGCTCGCCGCCCGCTCCTGCCTCTGCTGTTGCCGCCGCCGCCGCTGCCCCCGCCACCGCCACCGCCCCCGCCCCCGCCGCCGTCCCGCACTACACGACGTTCTCGGCGGGCGCGTACGAGGCGCCGACGCTGCAGGCGCAGGACGGCACGTGCCTGGGCCTGGGCTACCAGCCGGTCGACGCCCGGGATCGGCTGGCCTGGGAGGAGGAGCGGGCCGAGGCTCCGCGGCGCTGCTCGCCGCCGCCGCCCGCTCGGCGAGCCTTCGTCCAGTTCCAGAAGGGGGGCACACTGGAGCCGGCGGCGGCGCCACTGCCAGCGCCGCCCGAGGTGCAGCCGGAGCTCAGGGAGGCGCCACCGTCAGTCGCGCCGGAGGACGTAGGTACGAGACCAGTCGCGACAGCGCCCCCACGACCTCGGTCTCATCGGCGGACTGTCCTCCCGCTAGCTGCGTGTCGTCGAGAGGACCGGTGTGGTTGTAGCTGCGCGTGTTGGCTCTGTGCATTTGTCTGGTCAGGGTAATTGTTTCATTGTGGATGTTGGGGTCCTTGCCATACTTGTTGACGGCGTCTCTTTTCGCCAGATGACAGCGACAAGGCGAAGATAAATGGCATGGTCGAAGAGATTGTTGACAAGCTGGAGTTCCTGGGTGTGGGCGCGGAGACCGTGTCGCCTGTGAAAGTGCTCGCAATTCAGGCCCAGGTAGGTGTTTGCGTGTCAAACTGTGAGCTCTCCGTTGCGACTTGCGCTATGACGAATGTTTGGTATCATTCTGGGAGGTTTAGATTCCTGCATCACCGCGTGTTGCATGATTGTGCAATTCGTGGGTACTACCATAGCAATATTGTTGATCGGATCGCGCTGTGGATGTTGCCTGTTTGTTCTGCATCAACGTCTATCAGTTTTGGGTTGGCCCGACACGCTCAGCACCGGCCGTGGGCTGTGTAACGGCTGCGTCGGCGATGGCGGTCCGTCTGGCCGCCAGCGTGCCTTGCTGGGAGGCTCACCATCTGACCTCTAACCCGGTCGCCGCCCGCCGCAGACGCTCTGCGCCGCCTGGCAGGAGGGAGCGCTGCAGCCGGCCTTCTTCCTGCGTTGGCTGCGCGCCGAGGCCGCTGCCTTCGGCGCGCGCGAGCGCGAGTCGGCGCCGGCCGGCTGGACCATGCAGTGGCACAGGTACGACCCGGAGCCGCCGCGGCCAGCGCCCCTGGCGGCCACCGCCGCAACCGCAACCGCCGCCCCGTCCCGCTCCCGCCCCGCTGCCGTGTTCACCGCTCGCAGCTGTGGGGCACGGAGTGTCAGGAGAGCCGCCGGGACCCGGCGCTGGGTGCAGACCGAATGGGGGTCGTCCTCGGGTGGAACGGAGTGTGTCTGGCTACGTGTGTTGGATGAGGGTGACGGGCTGTTCAATGGTGATGCGGCTCCTCTCACGCTGCTGCCTTCAAAAAGTCCTTCTGATGAATGTGTGTCATTTCTGCTGAGTAATAAAGTGCCGCCGCATGATATGGATGTTGGCAGGGATACATGGAGTTTATATATATATATATATATATATATATATATATATATATATATAGAGTTCGGTATATCATCATCAAGTTGTTGACATGTGTGTTTATGAGTATTGCTTCAAGACCCTGCGATTGCCGCGTGTTCCCCGTGTGCGCGTGTTTCAGTACGCAACATTGTTGGGAAACGATGGTGTCATACGAAAACCCAGTACAGCAGGATGTTTCATTGCTCTGGAACATGGCAAAACGCTGTGAATGGGATGTTGGAAATCTTGCCTTGAATTCCGTAGCAATTATAAGTTCATCTTGTCAGCCAGCCAACAAGGCGTTCTATGCACCCATTGTTCATCCAGGGCGCAAAATGATCTTAGTAGTCGGAGCGCCCTTAAACCTTAATGATCACCACCATCATCGATGCTCGTCCAGCAAGAGCCGCGCCACTAGCCTGAGCATTATTGAGAGCGAGTGCGGCGCGCCGTGGGAGGTCGTCCAGGTCACGTGGGGCGCCATCTGAGCGGTGGCTGGCGCCGCGCGCCCTCGCTCCTGTGCGGATGAGGTTAGATAGTCACGCACCTCGACCACCGACCGGCTGTTCTCCCCAGCTACGCTGTCGCCCTCCCTGACACGGTACGTGAATATGTTGTCCGTCCTCGCTTGGTCGCTGTTAGTGTCAGTTTGTGGGAAATAGAAGTCGGGCGCCATCATCTTGTTTGGCACAAGCCACCTTCAGATCATTCCTTGCTGATTGGTGTTTATTTGTACGCTTTGAACCTGGCTGCTGTTCATCACGGTCACTTGTCGGAACATCGAAAGATGCAGGTGTTAGTCCCGGGCATTATCCGGTTTGACCTGAATACGGGCGTCGGATACCTTGCCGTGTGTTCGCCGAATACGCTTCTATCACTGATTTGGATGGATCAAAAGACACCAGCGATGCCGCTGGAGTCGCCGTGTTGTCGCTCGTCGTACAGCGAACCCGCTGCCGGACACTGGCTGCGGCTGGAGAGCGTGCCGTCGTGCTGGCGCCGGCGGGGGCCGTTTTCAGCCGTGTCTCCTGTGCCCGCAGGTTGCGTTAGTCGGTCGGTCGCCCGTGTGTGCGTGCGGGTGAGTACCGGTCCCACCGCCGCCCGGCCCCGCCCTCCCCGCCCTCACGCGCCCGCCTGTCTTGCAGGGAGCAGAAGCGCTACACCTACACCAACACGCAGACGGGAGCCACGCTCGCCAGCTACCCGGACCTGGCGGCCGACACCGGTGAGTGGCCGTGACGCCAGTGAGAGGGGCCCCCGCTGAGGCCCCGAGAGCTTGCCCCCACCACATATACATGGCCGAAGCGGAGATCGTATGGGGACGGCTTGCTCCCCAAATCTTTGGTTTGGGCACCAAGAGTTCCACTTTGCGCTTCCCCTACGGTGTCAAGGTCTGGCGACGCCTTTGCGGCGGTGAGCCTTCCCGGCGCTACCATAGTCACATATAAACAGCGCCAATGGCTCGATGCCGAAAGCATGGTCTTGTGGAAATAGTTTGTGCTTTCCCTGACCTGTACGCTCTGCAGCAAGCGTTTCCGCTTTGGAAAGGCTGCCCTCCGCTGAAGCGAGGCGCTGGTTTTGCACCCACACAGTTTGTCTGACATCGTTGTTCGTCGCCAGAAGCGGCCGGTCCGGCCCCGCAGCCCGGAGCTGAGCCGCCACCGGAGCCCGCGCAGCCGCTGGTGGAGGGCGTGCCGTTCGGTCCGGAGCCGTCTCAGGCGGTGACCGCTCCGCTTCCGCCTCCGCCTCCGCCGCCGGCGCTGGCGAGCGTGCTGCCGGCCACGCCGCCGCCGCCCAGGCTGCCGGCGGCGGCGGTGGCGCCTCCGCCGCCGCCGCTCTCCTCGTACGAGCCGCCGCCGCCCGGCGAGGAGCGTCCGTCGGCGCCACAGCCGGTACCGCCGCCGCCGCCGCCGCGTCTCGCGCAGCCACCGGCCGCGCCCGGCGGGCAGCTACTCTCAGAGCTGGATAGCTTCTACTCGGAGGTCGGCCTGATGGACGAGGTGTCCGCGCCGCCCACCGCCACCCTGCCGCCCACCCCGTCACCGCCACCACCGCCGGTTGGGCCGCTGGCTGGCAAGGCCGAGCCGCCGACACACGCCAAGAAGAAGAAAAAGGTGGGATGTGCGCTAGTCTATATTACACACAAACACTGTGGTAGCCCATGTCAACCCCTCACTGAATGGAAACGTGATGTTAAAAGCCGGGCTTGTCCATTACATTCCCAGCGGGTTATGTGCGTTGATCGCAAACAGCGGTGTTACGGAAATGTCTGTGATCATGGTCGTCGGCCGACGGAATGTGTCTTGAGCCAAAACAAAACCTTCAGGCTGCAGTCATGCCCGTTTTCATTCTGTGGATAAATCTTTTCAGATTTGAAAGGAGCTAAAAAATACTTTTGAAGTTATTAGCATGCAGACTTCGAAACTAGGCGTAGTGATCTTCTATGCACCCTATTCATTGGCATGGGAAACAATTCACAAAATGTTAGAACTCAGGCACGACACCGTTGGAAACATAGCCCTAATTTCTGCAGCTCGGAGTCTCAGAAACAATGGATGTCACTCAGTTTAGACGTGACTAGATGCGGCAGGTCTTAACTGAAAACTGTGAGAACAAACGCACCGGCGGAACTGTTGGTCACGGCGTGCGTCTGGTCCCGTGCACTATATCGCAAGGCACGGGTATACCCGTTTTGGGTGCTGTTTTTTCTGGGGGGGGGGGGGAGGGACTAACACCCTGTCGCGGCAATCGAAGGAGGGCATGCCACTGGCTATGGTCTTGACCGGTTGGAAGAAAGCCACGGCGCATCCGCGTCACATCGTAGGCGCCCATCTCCTGATTGATCAGTTCGTTTTCTTCTTGCTTTGGTCAGACAGCGTGCCGGCGCCACTGATTGCAAAACGACCAAGGCAGCCTAAAAAAGAACGGTAGTGAATTCCAGTCGCTTTGGTAGAAGTCGAAAAAATGATAATGCCGCCTGTACAGACGCGTTGTCCAATGAGACATTTGCAATATCCGTCCGAAATGTTGGTTAGGAAAATGCTTTGGGTCACAACTAATCAAAATGTACTTGCAATCGTTGATTTAGGTAGCCAAGGAAAAGACGAACCTGCGCATCGCATAATACAGGGTCCTTGGACGTAGGACGCCGAGACGCGTTGCTTGCGTCAAGCACGTTACCTTTTTCCAGCACATCAAGTGTGAGAGGGCACTCCGCGGCCCCACAATATGGGTGTGAGATTGTGATTTCATCTTCGACCCTGAACTCAATTCCTGGTGGATCACCTGTATGACGATTATTATTGCCTGCGTTAACTTTCACCATTTAACAGCACATCAACCGTCAGAGGCATTCCACGAATTTGGGAGTGTAATTTCATATTCGGTCCCGAACTTAATTCCTCGTGAGAATGGAAGGGTGTGGTATGACGGGAAATGTTTCACATTTGAAGATATTGATGCATCATATATGATGCAATAAGCTCTTTGGTACCCAGCGGTATGCTTATTTTAATTTTTTCCATGTGCAAAAGACGGCTTTAGACAATCAAATTTCACTAGTTAGCAAATCTGCTCAACGTTTCGTCTGGTTGGGGACGTTTGGAACGTCGATATGATGTCAAAATGGCTCTGAAGTTGTTGTGCGAAGTCGCCACGGTGGCGGAAGGGCTGACTTGGTTGTAATGCGCTCTACTTCGCGAGAGGCGCCGCGCCGATCGGTGCGTCGTCGGCACACCCCAAATATGGTCATGTGCGTCCGTCGCCATTTCTCGTGGCGTCCCTGCACATTTATCCGTGGTTTTGTATTGTTTGCTTGCTTTCACATATTTGGTTATGGCTTTTCTGAAGTTATTTTATTCCTTATCTTTTTTCCGTCCCGACTCGTTGTCGAACCCCTGTATTACGTGGCACAAAATGTGAATCATGCTCGAAACCCTCACTGAACACATAACATTGGTCAATAGCCAATGGTAATCCGTTGGTGCCAGAAATTGCGCCTTGCGCCTTAGGACGGACATGAATAAGTCGATGGTTTATATGTGTCTTGCCATTGAATACCACATGGTCAATAAAGTGGCAATATTTGCGCCATGCACGATTGGGTGACCTTGAAATACCTTGCGCAAGGTCGCAGGCGCCAAACTCTGAAACCAGGGGGTCAATGGCAGGACTGTGAACTGCACTGAATGATCTTCGAAATGGCTATCAGTCCAAAAACCGCATACAAATGTGGAACATTCCCTTCAATGGATACTGTATCAGCAATAAGAGCTCTTGTCTGCCCATGAAGCACCTTCGCCTTGCTTGGTGTACAAGCTATGCGCTGTTGGGCTTAATGTCGTTCCGTGCTCTCTCACGGCAGGTTCGTTCTTCCGTACGTTTCAGGCAAAGATGGTCACTGCTCTTGTGCACAAAAAGAAAGGCGTGGACAAGCTGGTGGCCAAATGGAAGACTGTGCAGAAAGAGATGCGGTAGACTACAGCTGTGTTCGGCTTGCTGTGCTTGCTTTCCCTTGCGAGCAAACATGATCTGCGGGTTGCGGTGCAAGTGTGCAAGTGAAATGCTCACGTGATGCAAATACAGGACACCTAGACGTCTCCGGTTCTCTTTACCGTTGAGCCTGCTGCGAGATCAAGACAAGACCGCAAGGTGTATCAGTTTTTTTATTTCTCGTCACATAGTCACAAATTAGGCAACCAGGGCCGAAGCCGTGGCGGCCTCGTACTTCCAGGTGGGCGGAAGCACCTGCTTCTTCTTGTAGTATCTCGCCAACCGATGGATACGCGACTCGATCAGAATCAGACGGAACTTGGAGTCCTTGTCCTTCCTGCAAACGACGCAGAGCCAGGTCAGAGCCTGTCATTCTCACAAGTTATGAACTTTTGTCAAAATTAGCCTCCTTTCGCCGACATCGCAAACGTCGAAAATCGTTTTCGAGAACGCACAGCATGACAACTATGTCGAGGCGCCCTTGAACGCCAAACACCATAACCACCCACGGATCCCGCCCATGTTGCTGCACGGCTGTAACTGAGCCTGGGTGCACGGCCGCAGGTCAATCAGACCACAAGCGGGCCGTCTGGGCGGCGCGAGCCTGTCGCTCACCTGAACTTCTCCAGATGTTTGCGGATGGCGATGGCCGTCTTGATCATGCAGTGCAGGTCCTCCGGGATGTCCGGCGCCAGGCCCTTGCTCTTCAGGATCCGCAGGATCTTGTTGCCGGTGACGAAGCGGGTCTGGGCCACGCCCATCGTGTCACGGAGAATGACGCCTGTGAGGGGAACACCAAGTCAGACGCCAGCAACGCATAGACATAGGCATACGTGTGCATTGCAGAAGACTGAAATGCGTACGGAATACAGCCGAACACCAAACTGTTAGAACGCACAAAATCACGACCGACTGCTAATGGTTTCAAGCGCAGTCATAACGTAACGCCTTTGTCACAGACAGCATGACGGCTGCGCAAGGATCGGGTTGACTGTTTCGGGAGCGTAACGAGCCCATGGTTCCTAATGGACCATGTGTGTGTGTGGGGGGGGGGGGGGGGGAGCAATAGCGAGACTGTGGTGCGTCCCGGACGGGTTCAGACCAGGGGGTAATGATAATGTGGCGGTTAAGCTGCACGACTGAGAAACTAGAGGTACGGGGTTCAATTCTCCGCGGTGCCCACCCTTCCTGTCAGGACAGGGCGCGTCGGTAAACTGTTGGCACACGCAGGCGACGCCACAGTGCGCGCATGCGTGTCGCTCAGTGCGTCTGAAGCCCCGGTGACAACTGCACAGGCCATGCTAGATCGCGCCGGAAGGTGCGCCTGATGATAGGCCAGCTGAGTTCGCTCCAAATCGCACCAGAAGCGATCTTGTTACATTGACTACTATTTACTATTAACTGGTTGCCAGAGTTTTTACTCTTTTGTTGCTAGGGCTAGCAGCGCATACCTGGATAACATTCCTCTGCATGGTAAGCCAACAATTTTTTTAGTCTTCTGCAACATCATGTGGTCCTGTTTGCCTACCAATTCTGCCTAGCTAACACACAGTTAGTAAGTGATAATTACTCCTGCACATCACTGGTACACCGACTGTACAGTGTAGTCCACTTTCTCTCTGGAACTCAAATTCAATGTTCATGTATCAATAGACTGCCTTACGCTCAGCCACAGTGGCATACAAGTTGACTTTCAAGGATGTTAATAATGGATGGTGTGTTTTGTATGGTGTGAGCATAAACAAAGACCTGTACCAAATGATTGCTTCCATAATATATAAGCTTTCCTAACATGGATCCATGCCCTGAATCCAAAGACCATTGAATCCAAACATTTAGTCCAGTCTATGAATATTTCAAACTGACTACTTTGCCCTCATTCAGTGTTACGGCCTCAATGGATCAGGCCTATTGAAAACATCAGTTGTCAGCTCCCTACACCAAAAAAACATGCCATACAAACTTCTCCATTCAGTGCCTTTCCACTTCCCACAGACTGAGTTTCCACTGGTTATCACAATTTTCACTGTGATGGTTCTGAAAATCATTGCTCTCAAAAATCAGGTCAAATGAAGCAGTGCACTGCAGTGATACATGATCACCCACAAAGCTTTGAAGTAAAAGACAACATCAAATCTCACAATGTTTCCTTGCACCCCTGCACCAATCATTTTGAGGTTACTCAGGCATCCATGATGTCATAAAAACATCATTTAAATCCTCCATCACCGGCCATGTGGATATCCAACATCGACAAAAATATAGTTGTTGAACATCTGGAGCACCATCATTCACATCTGGCACTGAGGAGCATGATTTCCAGACATAACAGGATCAATTGACTCCCAAGCAATGTTGTGCAAGCCTACATAAAGCCTCAAAAATTTGTCATACTGGATTGCTCTCCCAACTCACGTAATGGATCTTTAGATCAATGACTCTTGCACACACCACACCACCATTGACCTGGGTTTTAAGACCAGACTGCAAGAATCCATCCACAGCACCAGTACCTGTACCACACCATCCCAGTGTGCAAAAGGTTCCAGACCAGTCAATAAGATGTTTTAGATGGGCCTGATCCTAATCCAAGTGGGTCTCCCAGCTTCTTTGTTTGGGACAGGGCTGATGATCTGATGGCCGGGAAGGGGCTTCAAGATTTTCCTGGTAATCAAACTTGTGTTAACTTGAACAAAAGATCAAAGTTAATTTCCAAACCAAAGTCGATCATAGTTCACAAATGTGTTCCCAAGCGCTGGCAATTGCATGTGTCACATAACCATGGCTGTGGTAGTTATGCAACACCACCAGTGACAGACATAGTCATTAGTTATCTCTTACAAAAATGTTTACTGCACATTACACCCAATTCCATGCTCTTAACAAAAAAGCAGCCTGCATTAACTTGAAATAAGAAGTCATGTTATGATAGGTCAACAAGTAACAATACTTCGAAATTTTAACATTACAGAGAACATTATGTACCAGTGTGGGAAAAACCTCCGGTTTCTGGTGGATGTGACACCAGGAAATTTTGTACTCCAGGCTCTTGACTGGTAAGAATGACAATTGTTGTACTTCAGACAAACACTGCAGTTGCCCCACAAAGCAGACACCATTGCAAATGTATGAGTCTGAGTATAAGTACCAAGGCATACAGTTTTGCTTTCTTGATAGCCAGGAGGGTGTATGCACTTTGCTTTCATAACGTGAGTTATAACTTGTATTTGATTTCCAGGGACCAAACATATGGAGCACCAAGAAATGGAGACAAGCATCTGCAAACCTGCAGGCGCTTGCCAATCCAGGGCATTCATGTCAATGTCCTTCATCATTGTATTACATGGGTCAGAGGCACTTGTACAAGCCTATGCAACTCCTGAATGGTGATGACAACTCATGTGAGTTACTTCTGTGGGAATGAAATAAACTGAAATATGAAATGTGCTTGTTTTAAGTACCTACCACTGCCACATACCTTGCATGCCATTGCCTGTGGAGAAAATATATGGCGCACCTGAGTAAGTAAGAAGACCGCATTCTCCACGACGCACACACCCACAGATACCTTTCAAGAAACGGACAAATGTATCACGGCTCTGGCTCCCACCACGCGACGAACCCATCGCCTCCCGTACCCGAAACCAGCGGCAGCCCAGCCTCCTGCAACTGACGAGTGCATTTTCGAGCAGTGAAGGTCCGCGTCGCAACAGACACCTACAACAACATTCGTTCGACCAGAAACCACTAGCAGCACCAAAATCACCGCTGGCACATCTTTTTCAACTGGGTCATTCAAAGACTCGCCGAGCAAGAAGTCCAGCATGCCAACTATGCTCTAAACTTACCTCATATTAAGATAACATGTTAGCGATTTTACCAAAGGACGTGCATCTTGCAAACAGCTAGGTGGGAAACTTCCAAAGATTGCAGCATTGCACATCCTTTTCAAAGTGCTTGTTTCATTCCTACTCCTGCCATACCAGCCACCAATCACCATCCAACTTGCAATTAAACTCAAAATCATGGCATTCAAAAACACCACATATCGGCACTTTTGAGATAGAATCATGACATTAAATGGCACCCAAATATCACGTTTGTGGGCGGCACTTTTGGTGGTAACGGCTTCTTTTGGGTTCTTAAATGTCATCGGGAATTACGTTCCCAAAATGGGAGTTTGTGGCATGCAGCATTCCAAAACTTATTACTATTGTATAAATGATAGTACGTCAACCACTTTTTCAGAAATCGGTAAATGCCGGTCTTTGAAGATTGGAGGATATCTTACTTATTTAACAACGGTATCACGCCTCCAGGCTCAACCAGTACCTATACTTGTAAGATAGAGATGGTCCACAAGCCGGTGGGAAAAAATCGCAGTACTTGGTTGCCCTTCTCACAATGGGGCCTATGGGGAGACCCGGGGAGAACAAGCCGGAGTGCAAGCCGGAGAACAGCAAGTTTTTAGCAAAGTTAGCCAAATTTAATTGAAAAATTTACGTGTTTCGGTATCGCCCAGATACGGGCCTTCCTCAGAGGGTGTTGAAATGGCATGATATGCCTTAGAATGAGAAATATCTATAGATTTGTAGTACAGGTACTGCATTATCTCGGCGTTGTCTTGCGCCACCAGAAGATAATACATATTTGTAGGTGGAAAATAGCAACTTTAAATAGATGACTGTAAAGCTCTATGATTTTTCTACCACAAACTTAACAATTTGTGTTGCCGCAACTGCATAAATGGTTTTTCTTAGACTATTCATCACAGCCTGTCATTTCAGGACCGACCCGTGGTACTTGTACTTGGTTGCCCATTGACAAGTGCTAGAATGCCATCACAATGTCTGTGAATGCACCAGAACTCCTGTGCATGGTTTAGTTGTTTGTCTTGATGTGGTGAGAGTGAGGAGGGTGGAGGGTGAGTGAAGCTGCTTGGGATTATGTGCATCGTAGCTGCGAGTTTGAGGTATTCAGTGAGGCAAAGTGGAAATGGTTGTCTTCAATTTTCACACAGCATGTATCCACACCTCTAAAGTTACTTGGGATTTAGTTTTGGACCACTATTAAGTCATTCCAAAAAAGGTAAATAAATACCAGGGGACTGATCTATAAATGTTTACCACTGCAGGCTGGTGCAGAATCACCTTGGTATAACCTGCTCTACCTACAGCATGGTGGGTAGGTATGTAGGTACTAAGATATCTATATACAACATTAATGCTAGGCTTGGGTTTCCCATGTGGGATCAAATATGAGGCTGGCCTCTTTTCAGCCTGCAGTTATAATTGCTGTAACCTGACAGGTGGCAATGCTGCCATGTTCCTTGCTGTCAGGCATAAGGTCTTGCAGTGACAGCATTAAAATTGTCCCTACATAAGATCATAGGGAACTTGGAGAAGGGGAGAGGGATAACAGGAGGTGCAGGAAGAGAGGGGGAGCAGAAGTGGAGGAGTGGAAGGAGAAAAGTGGCAGAAAGACAAGGTGAGGAGCTGACAGAGGAGAAGAGCAGAAAGAGAAGGATAGGAAGAGGAACACTTTTGGTATGTTTATGTCAATTATGTAAAGGCCAAAAGGACAGCATGTTAGTGATGTCACATACATAAGGCTTTCATAAACAGTTGCATCTGCTTAAGACTCATTACAAAAACCAGGGTGTGATGCACGGTGGTTGTCCGCAATTCAGTTTGTCAGTAAGCAGAGGATGCACCTGATTTATCATTTTGATATTGTGTAAGTTTGCATGTAGATAGGTAATGATAAGTAACTGAGCTTTGTATGATGCACCTGTGAATGCATGTGTATAAAGTTTTGTTGTTAACCTCTCTAACTGTACATTTCTTATTAGCATGCACCATTAATCAATCCTTGCATGTGTAGGTGAGCAAGTAGCACTACAGGGATATGGATGGGATCAGTGTGGCACCCTCACTCACAAGAAGTACTCTGTTCCACGGAAATGCAAAATTGCATGCTGACACTAATTTTTGCCAGAAAAACATTGGGAGAATGTTGACCCATTAAAGGCAGTATGTGATGTACTTCAAGCAAGGCCCATTGTGCAGACACTCATTCCACATTAGACAGACCTTTGCTTGCAGGCAAGTTTGTACCCCGACCACAAAAATTTTTGTACTCTGCCACCAGCAAAAAAACTCAATTTCCCACCCTGTTATGTACCTTTCAAATTTGAGCGACCAAAAAACAAAACAGACAGGGATAAGCCAATTCAAGTGACCAAAAACCAGTGACATATCAGGCTTAGGGGATCATGTAAACCTTATCCACTGAGCACCTCCAAACAATTTACAAGAGCGACACCACTGTATCCCAGCAACAATTTCAGGGCACATGCACTGTAAATAACATGACTGCAAGCATTAATATCAAACACACTATGGCTAGGGCTGAGTTTGACACACAGACCTTCCAAGTTTGACATGCAAACATGAGCATCCAGTGCAACATTGTTCTCACGTATATGACATATTTTGCAATCATGCCAGGGTTGGCTGGTGTTGGGGTTGGCGCAAATGAGCCAAACTCAGATGAAAGCATACCATTCTTACTTTTCAAGTTGTGCTGCTTGAAACAACACCTTCATAGGATTTCAGCCTCTAGTTCACCTTGCCCACCATTGTCCTTCATCAATCATAACCCTACACTGAAATCACTTGTGTATGTCAATATCTAAGTTCCAAGCATGACCACATGCATGCAATGTAATTTCTGCTGTGATGTCCAGACTATGCCACATGTTCTTTGCCAGAAACAGTTTAACTCTGAAATGCACTCCAAAACATTCACCCTGGCACACATTTGCCCAGGACTGAAGCTATTCCTTACCGATTTCTGATGGCGTGTGCCCCTTGCGAGCCAGCTTGAAAATCTGGTCTTTAACATCATCTGAAGTCAACTTCAGCCATGTGGGCACGCTCCGCCGATACGGGAGGGCAGACCTCGAAATACCCTTGCTGAAATGCACAGGGACGAACGTAACGCACACCGATAATCAAAACATCGCAAAGCTCGCCCACGATACATAATAAAGCTTCATTCCACATGTTGATCCAATGAAATTATATCGAATTTGGACGAATACTAGGATGTTCACTTACCCAGGTGTGTGCATACGACCCATGATGAACGCTGTTTACTGTTTGCTGCGCCACTACGCGGCCCAACAACAGGAAAGGACCATCCAGCGCTGCTGTTGGAGAAATATAAAATATGCCAGTCGTCTTTCATAATTTTCCGCATTTTGAAATTTACTTTAAGTATTTCAACCTATTGGCATGAATTCAAAAATATTGATATCCCAAGAGCTGCTAATATTGTTCAGTATGTATCACTACTTACGCAGTCTATCTAGGGGCTGGCAAATAATCAGCGACGGCACAAAATGCATTATTTATGCTTCTAAAAATATGGAAAATGATGACGATGTCAATATAAGGGCGCTCTGACTGCTTGATATCAATGTCTTTGCTGTACATTACTTAAAAGCATGCTGCTAACAAATGCAATACCCAATTATAGGTCAAGTCAGGTAGGGTAGTTACTTAATATAGTTTCGGGGGACACCCCTTTCCCAATCTGGATAGGAAGCCCCCCGTCACGGGTGCCGATTTGTATTATTTTGTGAGTGTCCCGCCCCCCCCCCCCCCTCCCATGTTGAATTGGGCCTCCCCGACGTTGGCTTTTTCCCTCAATGCTTTTGGTTGGAATACTACAAAAAACGTAGGTAAAAGATAATTATAACTCAATGACTATCTTCTTTGATATTTCTGCGAAGTGGTTTCCCGTCGCACTCTCATAACAAAAAGTCATGGCTGCTTTCAGCCTAAGATACAAATCGTAACAGCTGAGCGGATAAACGATGCAATAAAATTCACGTGCCTAGCGCCATCAGACACGCAATGGCTTGGAGGTTAAAGTGAAAAGCTCTAGAATATGGGGATAACCAAGACCTTCCTGGCTAACCTCGTCCCCGTCCTCCACAGCCAAAATGCGTGTTGCCTCCCATGACCGCCACAGAAGAGTGCCATCGGCACCCTAAGGTGGCCTCTAACGAGTCGCCCTCATGTGCCGATCAGAAGGGACGCATGCGTCCAATGCCTGCGCCATCGATCCAGCCCTGCATGACTTTTACACTGCCTAAGTTGAAAACTTTTAAAAATAAGACAAAGGTTAGCCGAGCTCCTCATTTTTGTTTCATTATTTCAATAACATATATTGTGTTTAGTCAGAATAAAATGAGCTGAATCCATCGAGAAAAATGGGGGGGGGGGGGGGGGGTATGTTGTCGGCCTTCGGTTCGGCTCCCAAACAATTTACAAAAATTCACACCCATGCCCCCGTGCTCTTCTGAGTTACCTCAAGAATGAATGTGGACAAAGAAGCAGCACTGGACCGAAAAAATACACAAAAAACGAAATGCAGGAATACAGACCCGAAATACAGGAGGGTTTAAAGTGATCGGATGTGCGGTTTCGGAAATCAAGCATGTCTGCTTGATGTGTCGGTTTTTTGGTCCCTCTCCTATTCCAAACCTGCTCCTGGATCAAACTCAGTCATTGTGAAAAACAGACATTGTCATTAAGTGAATGTTCTACGTTTCAAGATATTGAAGCAAACATCAGATCTGATGAAATAAGCTCACTCATAACCATTGGTTGACTTTTAATTGTCAAGGCTGCTCTAAACAACACCGTTTCTCTGTTTAGTAAGTACGCTCTTCAGTGCGTCATTGTTTAATTGCACCGTCGTAGCTTGCACAATATTGGTTGAGAGCCAATTGGCTGTGGTTATATCTGGAAGTCGTGCTCGCGAACGGCAGATATGAGCTGCTCGACAATTATATCTTCTTGGCCTTGATCACCGCATGGCCCATGGAATTGCAGGATATGAATGACGTCATTATGTCATCATGAATGCCTGGGCGCCCTTAAAATAGTCTCCCCGAAAAAACCGCACATCTGCGCGGGCATGTAGCTCAGAAATTAGAAGACTCCGGAAAGGTCTTAAGAAAGACAGGGCTGTAAACTGCATCAAATGATCTTCAAGATGACCATGTCAGTTCAAAACCTTAAACAAATGAGGAAGACTCCTTTTAAGTTCAACCAGCGGCACAAGGCCACAAATTGTTCACACTGCTAGTGTGCAAAAAAAACTGTGTTTGCACTGCGAAAAGTGCGATCGTTTGTGAGTTTGGGGGCACGTCGGTTTCAGTGGTGAAGTCGCGAATGTAATTGCTAAGCTGGCAAAGGAAAAAGGCTGTCTCCACGGAAATCTCCACGGAAATTGAATTGCAAAGGTTAGCATGCACCGCACCATGTAATCCAAATGCATAGCTGTTAGAGCTGAAAGAAACAAGTTAGGGAAAACCGTGTTAGAAGTGTTCTGTTGTCTGAATTTTCGTCAATTTCGTATTTTTTAACAGTCATTCTGGTATGTGAGCCATACAGATTCGTACGGGTATGGGGAATGTTTTTTCAGCAGCATGGGATGAGCAGCAGCCGCATTCGGGACGTTTGGAATGCAAGTGCTTACGTCATGCATTATCCAAGATGCATTTTAGACAGCCTTCAGTTGATAAGCCGACATTTACGCTAACTTTCGAAGGGAGCACACCGTACGACAAAAAACCCGAGATTTGGCTGTCAATTCATTCCATCCAATGCACATCATGCCGTACCGTACAAAGGTTTTTTGGCGACAGCTATAACTTTCAAGATAGAGCTACACTCGGTTCAAAAAGGCATCGATGACATGAATTCTCGCGTCACTGTGGTCGCAGACGAACGTGTCCTCCTGGAAGGAGGGGGGGGGGGGGGGGCAGGCAGAGACTCTGCCCTTGTCTTTCTCCAGAACCAGTCGTCCGGCTAAGCCACGTGCCATGCGCATGTGTGTGAGTTTGATTTTGAAATCAGCGGCCATTTCAACGACACATCAAAAGTCAACGTGGACCGGTTTGCAGCATTAGTTACATCACAAGAAGAACTCTTCAGATGCAAGCGCGGGCACTCTGTAAGTAATACACCGATGCCGAGTGAATCTCAAGTATATAGTCAGGTTTCAACAGCTCAAGATACGACTGCAATTTGACATCAGATGAAGATATGGGCTTGAAACTTGCTATATATGTGCTTGCTTATCGTTTTCATTCCATTTCCTACTTTTAGTTCCTAAATATGTTGATGTGCTGGGAAGTTTTGTGAATTGTTATTTTCTTCAAAGTGAGTTACCAGGAAATTTGCTTCTCAAATCTGTCTTGGTAACATCATGACTGTCCTGAAAACGTAAATTACGTACGTACGAGCAACAGCGCAAGTCAAGCGTTCTGACGTCACACAAGCCTCACGATTTCGGCACCTAAAGAAAGGTGGAGACTTCCCATTCGCAAAAATATTAAGATTCCTGTCGGGCAGGGCACTGAAAGTTTGACGACGATATGCTTGTTTCTTTTTGAGCCACCAAACACATCGCTATGGTGGACAGATTTCGTCGCTCGGCCCCCGCGGAACCAATAGAATATGCCTGCTCCAACGCTTATGCAGGGACTTGTTCTTATGCAGACATGCGACCAGATTTCAGATGACCAGCTGGCCTGATTTTCTCGGTCGAACACAACTCTACAACGTCTCTATTCTTCCGGTGTCAAAGGGTACCGCAGTCTGCAATTACCGAGCTTGGTAAGTAACGCTACACATGCATTTTTGAATGTCATAAACGTTCGCCGTTCTCTACCATCTGCTTCTTTGGTGGGTGCCTGTGCGCTCACGAAAAATCTCTGACTGCGGTGAGGTTAGTCGTGCGGACGTGAACCTACAATGGGGCCTCTGCTTTACTGTTTCCGCAGAATTCACTTATTTAACACGCGCTCGGCTGGCGGTCAATCAATCCAATTTCCAAGCGGCGTGGCGTAGCCGAACTTTACGCAGCCTTACGCGTTTAAGTAGTGGATGTTTTGCATAACAAATTATATGTACCATGAAAGTTTGCTGACCCATGGAAGGCTATGATCAATCTGGGGCTATCAGCGAAGGCAATTTCTGGGGAATTATTCAGTCTGATGCGGCAACGGCATGTTAGGCAGAACGTTATACCTCTGAGATAGTGTCTTAAAAAAATGGACAACTGATTAAGAAATTAAACACATTTCACTCAGTCTGGGTTAGTTATGAAGGTCGGACCAAGTTCAAAATGCACCCACTTGTTTGCCGGAGAGTTTGCTTTGTGGAGTAATCTGTAATGCTGATATCGAGTTCCTTGATAACGGGGACCACGACAGGCATCCTCCATTGACTGCTTAAAGGTGAACATAGGTCAATGACCTGAAATGACCCAGATCAGCATTTTGTCTTTGTAAACATAGCACCCAGCGTAATCCTTGACGCTTATTTAGGCTAATGAATTAAAACAAGCTTTTAGGTTTTTTGCCTCCATGACCTTGCAAAGGTCAAACAAGGTCACTGTCTTCAAATTCACACCAGTGACCTTTTACTGAGAAAAGGTGTCTAGGTTCAAGGTGGATGCATAATGTCTGGGGGTATTTTGGACACCAAGTTGGAGCTTGACCTTGTTTAATGTTATGCAACCCAATGATCATGATGTAGAAATCTGAGATCTTTGACACAAGTGAGTTCACATATAGACCACACGACGTTCAAAATTTGGTCTGTTCAGTTCTCTCAGTTTTAAGTTATCATGGGGTCAGACTGACTTCTGACCAGCCACCCGGGCGCGTGTTAATGCGTCAAGACCGCAATGCCTCTGGCATTGCGGTGTTGGCGTCTCACATTTTGAAAAAGGATAGGTCTGTCGGCAACGGACGGCCGGGAAGACTAAACTCATTGGTAAAGGCGATGACTACCTAGGTACCCAGCATTTCGTGCACCGTGCGTAACTACATGGGGCCCGCACCGAATGGCGGCTGCACCACGCTCCACTTCACTTCACCTCACTTCACTTCACTTCACTTCACGTTCCACAAGGACTTCCGTGTTTGCTCCTGCTGAAGAAATAGAGCATACAGGCCAGCAGAGCAATATTTGACTAACTGCCCCTAGTGGTACATGCACACCGAAATATTCTCGTCAACTTGTGAACTGAACTCCTGTCTGATGACGTTTACCGATTGGTTATTCTTGCTGGATTTAGACAAAAATGTTCAGCTTATGGTATTTTGGCATTATGGGTTCAAAGGTGTAGTTTGAGACGTAGTATAATTTTGTTTAACCAGTATCTCTTGGAACATTGAAGGTTGTTAACTCAACATAACGACTTATAACTGAAAACTGGTTAGTTGGGTCATTGCACCCACCACGCGGTCATAAACCAATATTTTCACGTTCGGGGCCTGATTAAATCAGTGCGTTGAACGATTAGTGCGCATTTACTTGTTCCATTTCTATGCTGATCTCATATGTTTGTAACGCCATTGTCGCACAGGGCGTTTCATTTCAAATGCTTCTTTTAGAAAGGCCGTCAAACGCTTATTTTGTTGTAAATTTGTATATGCATACAAAGGACATTTAATACATATCATTTCATATCATACCTGTCTTTAGTTATTGCTTTTCTTGCTTATCATCTATGTTTGCATATTATATTCATATGTTATGTCATCATTTTTTTTGTTTTTGTTTTAAGTCAGTCTTCATCTCACTGGCAAGACGTCCACACGGCAGCTCTCCAAGTCGAAAGCGCATCTCCAAACTCTAGAATGGCACACACATGCTGGTGTCCTGCAAATGGCGTGTTCCGCCGTTGTGGGCAGGGATGAAGGCCTGCATCATTAGTTCCCAGACCACACAGCGCGTCCTTGACCTATTTTTGATGTCCATGCTTGCACTTTGAACATAAACACTTCAACTAGAATGCATTGTTTTTTTCAAATACTGATTTTATTCTGGACGCAACACATGCAAGATATAGATGTTGGTTTTCTTGTCTATGTACGATAAGAGTCGCAAAATACAGGCGCGTGATGGAACCGATTGGTGATCGGGAATCGAGACGAGCTAAAATCGATTCAGTTACTTTTTAACACGCGCTCGGGTGGTCGTCACACTGACCCCCGAAGGTTTTTCCGGAATGGTTTCGGAACGGCGCGGCGTAGTCGCGCCAAATTTTGCGTAGCTGCAGATGGTTGAATAGCAGATTGCTTGGTATGAACATTATATGTACATTGTAAAGTGACTGACCCATGGGAAGCCCAAATTTATGCAATGGATTCAGCGAAGTCAATTCCTAGGGAATCGTTCAATCTGATGCAACAGCGAAGTGTTAGCCGAAGCAATACATCTCTGAGATGCTTTCTTAGGCAACATAACAATTGAATGAACAAATTGCACTGGCCCAGGGGCGGTATGAAGGTCAGACCAAGGTCAAAACCAACGTGCTTTTTTACTTTAGGGCTTGCAGTAAGGAATCGTTTCTGGTGCTGGTAACAGGAAGCGCCTTATACATCTTCCATGTACTTTTTAGAGGTCAGAAAATGGTGACTGATCTAAAGTGACCTACGTCAACATTTTGTCTTTAGGAACATGCTGCCTTTGCGTAATACTGGTCGCTTATTCAGATGCAAAACTCAAAACAGTCTTGTACTATTTTGGTTACCATGACCTTCAAAGGGTCAAACAAGGTCATCGGCCTCAAATGAGTATGTGACCTTTTGCTTTGAACAGGTATTTAGGCTTTGGCGCACTTTGGAGACCAGCCGGTAGTTTAACTTGTTTGACGTTATTTTACCTCAAGATCATGACCTAGGAGTCTCCAACTTTGACCTCAGTGAGTTCACGTGTAGGTCGATACACCCTGTGAATTTGGTGTTTCTAGCTCTTTTGGGTTCTAAGATCCCAAGGGGGTCAAACTGACCCCCAACCCGAGCGAAGAGTATCCAACCGGCCACCCTCGCGCGTGGTAACTATGCCCAGTTCAGTCCAGCTCGCTTGAAAGTTCTGGCCAGTTCCGAAGTCCTGCAGCGCCGGCGCAAATCCACCGGCTACACACCTAGGTCATTATTCTGCCTGTTCACTCCACAACTTAAGTGTCATAAGAATATGAAGTAAAAGGCCAATCCTGATCTAATGTCCGGTCGAAATCTCACAAAAATACACACTAGCCCATCAATTGCGTGCTGCGACCCAATCACCTGTTGGCAACTCCGCGCCGGCGAAAAGGACGATCGAAATGCCAGCGCACTCGCATGGCGTCCGCACAATTCATACACTTGTCAATGACCTAAAACTAATATTTTTACAGTTGCCAGTTATCCCACGACTGAAACTGCCTACAACTTTCAAAATGATGGCATAATGATCCGTGCTAGGGTTACTTTTCCGTGTTTTCAGGTAATTTTTTCGTTATCTGTTTTTATTTCCATGTTTTGCGTTCTGCCGCAGGATTGCCAGTATGTGGAGTAACATACTCCCTTTGCGATCAGCTAAATAAAAATGTAAGGACTGATTTCTTGCATCTTGCATCTTTCGGATTGCATTCTTGCCCTGACCGCTGCAGTTCATCCCGCATGTAAACGTCACACTCGGCGACGAGGCCACAATTATCAGCTTACTGTTCCGTTGCGTACCGTTGGCAGACAGCAAGTATACTCATTTGTAGTTCGCCGTTTAGCTCGTGACAGCAATGTTCACATGCAGCCAGCGTTAATCACCGGTTGTGAGAATGACGAGTGAGTTTGCTTGGCTCTGCGCAATGGATGGTGATTAGCGTGTGAACTAACTTGACATGGAATTAGTCTCGGCGGTTAGGAAAACCTTTCGTCACTGGTGTTAACCTCGCATTGCGATCGTGACCTGCACCAGTCGAGTATTTAAGCGAGTGCATCTCACTGGAGTCATCAGTCTCCTCATCAGCTCTCGCTCGCCTCTCACCGGTGCACAATGCAGTCATATGTGTACCTTCTCGTAGCTGCGGGCGTCGCATCGGCCACTCCAGCCCCCCAAGGCACGACGTACGGAGCGCCGTCACGGGCATCGCTCTCAGTCACCGGCAGACCGGCCGGGGCCAGCCTCCGTCGTCCTCTGCTCCCATCTACCGGTGCTCTGGGAAGTCCCGGCCACCCGCTGCTGCCATCTACCGGTGGTCTGGGGAACCCGCCGCAGCTGCGGCCTGACGGCCTGCTGGCCGGCCCTGGTGTGCCCTACAGCTTCAGCTGGGCCGTGGACGAGCCCGCCTACGGCAACAACTACGGCCACGCCGAGGAGAGCGACGGTGTGGTCACGCAGGGCGAGTACCGTGTACTGCTCCCCGACGGCCGCACCCAGATCGTGACGTACCAGGTGGAGGGCGGCAGCGGCTACCAGGCGCAGGTGACGTACGACGGCGAGCCGCAGTTCGCCGACTCGCCGCTGGGCGTCGCCGCAGTGAACCTCGGATCGGGCCGCGGACGGGGCCTGCGCCTGATCGGAGCGTCACGCGCCGGCGCCGCTGCTGCTGTAGGTGGCGCTGTCACCGCCCCGCGGACCAGTTACGGCATTTAGGGTGTCAGAAAGAACGAGAAGGGTTCTAGAGGCACCCGTGCGAATAAATGAAATAGTTAACATTCCTGGCTCTCTTTCGAATCCAGTTGGCGATTGCTAATGCCGCTACCGATGGAGCTGCAGCGTCTGTCGCGTCACACACTGACATTGTATGCACCCGTTTTTTTCTTGGACAATAGGCTTAACCTGCATGCATGCTGAATAAGTTTGACGCACATCGCAGATTCGGTTTGTGCGTGCATCCTGTGAAACATTGTCGAGGTGAGCAGCGTCTGCTGCACTGCGGCTTCGTTGCAGCATGTGCTGTACCATAGGCATGTGCGGCACATCCAGTACAGCGTGCCTCGGTTGTAACGCATGCGTTGCGGCTGAACATCCTATGTGCTAGAACTGGAAGAGAGCGGGCAGTCCTGCATTATGGAAGTTGAAAGCACAGAGGTGATGGGTGGGTGGATCCCTTAGAGAGCTCTGTCGTCAAGAATTTGATATTTTAGGTCATTGCTGTTCATGTCAGATATGCTCAAAAGTGGCTGCGTTGTTTAAGTTATTGATGGAAGTGAGAAAGGCCGGGGCAAGTAATCCCACGTTTTTCTCAGTAAGGCTTATGCATTGCTTTTTGGAAGTGCCGAGTAGCCTCCGGTTGCATTGTTTAGAGGAAAGATTCGTGCATCTGGCAACAATTAGTCGCACCTTGGTGTGCATATAGTGAGGTGTGTGGGTAATTTCTGACTGAAAATGCTCCCTGTCCCAGTATTTGTTGCTACAAATAATTTATTATTCATCAGGAGCTATCTGAAACGTGATGATCTTTTCATCTTAAACGAAAAGTTCCAACAGCAATGTTCACGAAAGGTGTGCACAATAGATTGCCCTCCACTAAATAAAAAACGGGTATGTCTACTGATTGACATTGACGCAGCCAAGGAAGCATTCCGGGGGAGGGGCGCATCTCCCGCCCTGGTTTTTCGTGTTTTACCACACATGGCTCCCGACAGGTCATGCTAAAAATCGGCGTGATGCACGCTTGCCGAGCAACCCAACCCTCCCTGACGAAAATCGTGGCTGTGCTTCTGCTAGCTTATCATCATGGCGTCGGAAAATTTTCCAGTTGGGTGGCCGGGAGCCCAGTATCAAGTCATGCTATCAAACCATTCTTTGCTCCGCCGTTTCCGCATTCACCATGCTTCCTTTGAGGTTAATGCGTTGCCACCTGACCCCAATGATTCATATCCTGACCTACCCGCCCGATTTGTCTTGCCGGTGGCGCATAGATGCTGGGTTGGCCGCCATCCGGGCCGACGCAGATTGGTTTATTCTGAGCGAAGGGAGCAGCAGCAGCCACTGAACCTCAAGGCACGTGTGCAATAATCTGACACAAGATCAGTCTCCTTGGCACCCGAATGACTGAACTTTGCTGCTCTCAATCAGCAGTACTGGTCAAGGTACCTGCTATCGTTGCCAATGTGCTTGCTGCAGTATACGCATGATCTCACACGGTGACTAGAAGTTACGAACGGAGTCGATACCTGACCGATGTTTTCGACAACGAGCCGAGTGTTCGGATACAGTTCTTGCTCTGATCCTTCCTTTCACATTACATGCCATATGGCAACCAAGTTACTTTGGTGGAAACGGACGGACTTTACGAGTTTAGATTAGAGCTGAGAATTTGCTGCAGTTTACGACTCGAAACCCGTGGTGAGTGTGCGTGTGCCAGCGACCCAATTTGGAAGCAAAGCGTTGGAGCACGGTTTTTGGACAAAAGTTTGCATGGGAAAAGTGTGGAGGTACTAACTACGTACCCAATCGTTCGTAGGCAATGCGTATAACCTATAAATAAATCGGTAACCAGACACCGCAGCAACAGGTCTACGGATTCTGCGAAAAGCGCAATCGTTTGCCCCCCAAAAATAGGTTGATTTTTACAAACGGCCACGTGCCGCCGGGCGCGAGTCATGGATTGTCCGTTTTGTGGCGTTTTTAATGATTGGTGCCAGGCATAAATGACCAGGGCAGACGAAGACACGGGACCAACGGAAGATGTAGGATAATGCGCCGAATTCAACACACTGATGATCCTCAAAATTGTCCGACCCGTGGGTAGGCCAATGATCGACAGTAAACGAAAATAATGGTACGCTGGACTAGACGAGCAGAGACTTGCCTTGCAGGGCTGTAAAAGACATCACAAATATTACACCCCCTGACCATGAACGTATAACAAGTGAACATAAAACAATCCTTGCATCGTGAAAACTCCCTCCACATGTGAAAAAAATGAAGTGAACATCAGATGTGATGAAAAACTCACGTATAGCTATTGGTATACTTATAATTGGAAAAACCGCTCTAGACGACACAATTTCTTTGTTAATGGGTGTGTTCCACTTTTTTGTGGGGTTTTGAACTGAAATAGCCGTCTTGAATATCATTTGGTGCAGGTCACAGCCTTGCCCTTTTTAAGACCTACGCCCCTCTAGCTTCTCAGCTACACGCTCGCGAAGACGTGCAAATTATTTCGAGGAGACTATTTGAAGGTCACCTAAGCATCCATGACGCCAGAATAACGTCATTCAATATCTGACATCTCATTTACATGTACGATCAAGGCCAGTGAAGTATAATTGTCAAGTCATTCACATCTGGCGTTGGTGAGCAGGATTTCCAGATATAATGGCCATTAATTGGCTGACAATGATTGTTTTGCAAAGCACGACGACGTAATTAAACAATGACTTATGGAGGAGCATATTTATTGGGCATAGAAACTAGGTTGTCTAGAGCAGTCCTTTCCGATAAAAGTATACCAATAGCTATAAGTGAGCCTATTTAATGATAGCTGATGCTGTCTTTAGTATATTCAAATATGAAGCATTCCCCTCGAGTAAATATCCCTCTCAATACGTCACTGGTTGATTACGTCATCATATCCCGCATAACATTGATTGAGAGCCAATCGACGGCCGTTGCATCTGGGAATCGTGCTCAGGAATGTCAGATTTAAACGACTCGTCAGTAATATTTGTCTTGGCCCTAATCGCCGCATGGCCAATCGAATGTCAATATTGAAATGGCGCTATTATGGCGCCATAAATGCCTGTGTCACCTCGAAATATTCTCCCCGAAATAGTCTGCCATCTTCGCGGGCGTTAAGCTCATAAACTACGGGGGGGGAGGGGGGCGCTTACGTCTTAACAAGGGTAGGGCTATGAACTGCACCGAACAATCTTGAAGATGCTTATTTCAGCTCATAACCCATCACAGATGTGGAACACTCCCTTACATAGCACACGCATCTAGCATTAGTTATTGTGACCAATGCTCATCAAAATTACTTGCATTTTCGCAATTCTTTGACCATAACTGTCAGCCCCGTAAGTTATTAAAAACGCATCGAGTTCCAAGCTCAAAAGCGTCAAGCCTGGCGAGACAGATCCCGACCAATGTTCAAGCGATCCATATTGTGATTTGGCGCTCAAATGCTACATCAGTGGGCCCCCGCAACCTTGAATTCTTAGGAAAGGTAGACGTCGCAACATAATGGTCAAACCCATTGGTATACGTTGCACAAGTTCGTGCTAGCCGATTTTGCCCAAGTTGGGTTCTGTGTTCCCATTTGCCTGGTATCTGGGTTGTTGATACGAATTATTTTGAGGTGGGCCTGGCCCCCGCTGTTGATTTGCCCCAATTTTGGTTTGAGCTCCCAATATTTTGTATTGGAGTGCTAAAACAATGGAGGAAGAGGCTAAACATAACGCAAAGCTCGCGTTCCTTTTCGCTACTTTATGGCCACGAATTCTACGCTGCGGATATGGAAGACTGTACGATAAATGACACACAACTTACTGTGTTGCGCTCTGCTGGAGCAGCTGTCCGTTCCGGACCGCGCGTCATGGCAAAGGTTGCTCAGGCTGGCGAGGTCATACGTGACCAACAGCGATTTTCGCGTGGGTGTTGACCCTGCCAACCTGCACGCCCGGGCAGAACAGGAACGCCCCTCCCCCTGCTGCATTTGCAGGCGCTGGCTGCACAGCCGCGGTTCCCAGCCCCTCCCCTCATCCGCAGCCCCCTCGGTTGGGCGCCCCCGGCGGTAGACGGCTGCCTGGTATCAGCGGCGAACAGAGGGGGGGGGGGGGAGAAAAGAGGAGGGGGGGAGGGGAGGTGTCAGCGGCGCTGCGGCTCGAGCGACGCAGGGTGTTCTTGAGCTGGTGCATAAGAGTTTAGGATTTGCAGCATTTTGTCATTTGAATCCTTGGGTATGTGAGTTCATATTCGGATAGCCAGGCCAAACAATGGACAAAATGCGTTTTTGAAATCCGATAGATGTTTGGTGGAGTACGATGTAACTCTTTCTTTCAAATTTCTCCGCAAATAGTAGAATGTTATGGGCACAGGAGTTTATAGCTGCTCCTTAGTTTAAGCAGCAGGATTGTAAGTAAAAGCTCGGAAAGCTACTCCCTAAGCCAAAATTGTACGCCATTCTCTATTTGTGAAGCTGGTTGCTGGTCGCTGATAACGGCAGAAACGGGCATGTCAAACGGCCGATCGGGGAGAATTGCCGGACTTGAACCCGTTGTTTTCACACGACAGTAGAGGAAGGCTCGACTAAAACGCCACGCGGTAGTTCGCAATAGTGTCTTACGATTGCCGAATCGCACAAAACAATCAACAGGCAACTTGCAAACAGGCATTTTGTGAGAGAAGGGCAAATACATTTAGCTGAGCTCGGAGACACCTGCTCACTGTGCCACAGACAACACACCCTCAGATTGAGATATGGGCGCACTTTTGCACATGATAACACTTATGACGTCTGCTCAGGAAGTGAACAGCTGGGACGATTGGCACCAAATTGACAGTTATCGCAACCCGGCTAATGACGCGTGCTCTTGCCACACAATGCTTTCAGCGACAACACGCGTACCCGGCACTGCGGTTGCCAACGGCTGCACGGAGAAGGCTTGCGTCATTAGAGAGACATTCCGATACAGAGCCGGGGCGTTATTACATTCAATTTCCACGCACGGGCCTACTTAAAATCATAGCGGAGTGCGAAGCCTGCCGCATTTCCCCCCTTGAGGTCGCTAGCGAAGCCGAGCCCTGCTTTGAAGCGATCGTTAGGCGACTGGTACACCCTGAGGCCGACCGACCCCGGTGCTCCACCAATGCCATATGCGCTGTTGACGGCTCCTCGCGCAGCGTTGCCCGCCTGCCGCTCCAGGCTCTGTGGCAGGCCGGGCACGTCGGCCCAGGGCGCCGGGCGCGGCGCGCTGACGGGCACCTTGGGGAACGGCTGGAACCCGGGGAAGTTGGGGACCTGGGTCAGGCTGGAGCCCGCCAGCAGACTGAGCGGAGTCGTGCCAGGACTCAGCAGACTCTGTGGGGCCGGTGCGACGGTGGCCACCAGGGCGCACAGCAGCAGGCAACGGGTCAACATCCTGCCGGCCAAAAGAAGCGCGGTTAATTCGCTGTCATGGGCTCAAGCACCATCACAAAATTTGCGCGGTTGACAAAAAAAGTTTAATGACAATGACAAAACAAAAGACAATGACAAAAAAAGTTTAATGATCCCACGAAAGGTCCCTTTTTACTAACGAACTCCGGTTACATGAGATCAAGCCACGTTTTGTGATCTGTGCAGAAAGACATGTAGTATTCCATCATATCTTAAGCATACATATGTGTGTCTATGTGTATATATATACAAATTTTTATATCTATATTTACATATGTATGTATACCTATATATATATATACATATATACATATATACCAATTTTTATATTTATATTTACATATGTATACATATATATATATATTCCTATATATATATATATATATATATATATAAACATGGACGTCATCATTATCATCATATAACCAATACCGTTTCCAGGCCCTTTTTGTTATATTGTGGTTTTGTGTGGCAAGCTGACGGCAACCTTAGGTTTGATCCAATGTAACTGTGACCTCGTCTAGCCGTAAAAAGCTCTCAGGCGCTGATTTTATTAACTATCAGTATAACAATTGCACACATTTGAGACCACAAGTCATAAAGCTCTGATGCACATGGCATATTTGGTAAACTACTCTTATCGGGCGCCGCAAATTGTCAGCGATTGTCAGCTAAACAAACGTTCTGAATATGTTTGCGTATGCGTGCCCGCACACAATATTTTTGTAGGGTAAGGCCGTGGCCTCGAGGTGCCGTGACATCAGGCTTCCATAGAGGGCTTCCCCGGGAAACAACAGCTAAAAAGCATTAACAAATTCTATCCTCTCGTATGTAGCCTGCATATGTAGCCTGCATATGCTTCAGGTACCTGATCTCTTCTCAGAGAATTTCATCACAAATGCCTTGCTGCTCTCCGCTCCTAGCACCTGGAATCTCTTGACGCTCTGGAAAACTTAATTGAACAATGACCAATCTGTGAATGCCGCGCTCAAGACGTTCCTGGTTCATCTTATTGGTCAGTGCGCAGGGAGTGCGTGCTGCGCAGCTTACATAGTTGGTACGCTCCAAGACCGCATCAATAAAGTAAAACGCCTGGGGCGCCCCATTGACTAAAGGAAAACACAGGTGAGTGCATCCCTGCCTCTTGCGGATTTGCGCGCGCATGTTGTCCTGCTCTGCTAAACTGCATGGCTCCAATAGTAAGAGCAATGATACCCACTGGTTGGCCTGCGCCGCCAACTCACCTGTGGCGCGTCTAACGACACGTGCAGTGTTGGCTCACCTGTTCTCAGCTGTGCAGTGCCAGGCGACACGAGCAGTGTTGGCTCACCTGTGCTCACCTGTACCGTGTCAGACAACGCATGCCGCGTTAGCTCGCCTGTGTTCACCTGTGCAGTGCCAGGCGACACGGGCAGTGCTAGCTCACCTGTGCTCACCTGTGCCGTGTCTGACAACGCGTGCCGTGTTAGCTCACCTGTGCTCACCTGTGCAGCGTTAGACGACATGGGCCGTGTTAGCTCACCTGCGCTCACCTGTGCAGCGTTAGACGACACGGGCCGTGTTAGCTCACCTGTGCTCACCTGTGCAGCGTTAGACGACACGGGCAGTGCTAGCTCACCTGTGCTCACCTGTGCCGTGTCTGACAACGTGTGCCGTATTAGCTCAGCTGTGCTCACCTGTGCAGCGTTAGACGACGCGGGCAGTGCTAGCTCACCTGTGCTCACCTGTGCCGTGTCAAACAACGCGTGCCGTGTTAGCTCACCTGTGCTCACCTGTGCAGCGTTAGACGACACGGGCCGTGTTAGCTCACCTGTGCTCACCTGTGCAGCGTTGGACGACACGGGCAGTGCTAGCTCACCTGTGCTCACCTGTGCCGTGTCTGACAACGTGTGCCGTATTAGCTCGCCTGTGCTCACCTGTGCAGCGTTAGACGACACTTGCCCTAGACAGCTCGTCGCAGCTGGACCTTCCTTGCTGCTTTGCTGTGTGACTGCCGAGACGCGTCGCTTTATACAGTGGGGTCCGGGCTTTCCGGCCGACCCCATCCCTCCCGCCGTTCGACCAGCGCTCACGGCGGCCAGCTCTAATGACGGTTCACTGCACGGACGTGGTCCTGGCCTCGGGCCAGAGCCCAGTCCGGGCACGGCGGGATCCCCCGCTCTGCACAACGTAGTTGGAAATATCGCAATGGCGGTGCTCGCCAGCACCAAATCATGCCATAAAAGCGTCTAGAATAATAATGTTCAGCCACAGAAAGCTCACCACGCCAGCCCGCTTCACAAATTCTCCATGAGCAGCAGTGAAATCGCCATCAGGAAAATGTTCTTTCACCCAAGAATTTGTTGATCATTCATGTCGTCGTCTTCGGTCTTGATTTTTCGCCGTCGCCGCTCAAATGTGGCGATGGCGCCATTTAAATAAAATAGTAGTTGAATCCAACAAACACACGATCTATTCTTCTGTATGGATGTCACGACAGCCTTCAGAACGGTACACAGGTGATTTTTGCGTGGTCTGTCAATCAAGTGTGTCATATGCACTCAACTGAGGCATGTCTGCACCTCGGCAAGGCACAAGTATGGGGCATGCCTATACCGCATCATCACACAGGTATCGAGCATGCCTGCACTACATCACAATGCAGATTACCAATCAATTTGAGTCGGACTGGCATGTTTCTGCGCAAATCGACAACATTTTTGGGTTAGCACAAATACGATTTACAATGTCGGAATTCAAATTAAGGTATAACTAACAAATTTCAAATAGAGTAGAGATATGTGTTAGTTGTATCATTTCCGATCAGTGTCGAAGCAGTTTATTCTAAATAAAACTTAGAATAAAAATATCGTACAAATTCGAACTAAGGGTCAAAAACTACCCCGCAAAGCAGTCTCTTGTAAAAATGCAGTTTGTTTTGAACTCCATCTGGCCCTTATAGTTGACCCAAGGTCAATGCGGTTAATCATAATTCTAGGCCTAATTGTGCTGCTGTCAAAAAGGCGTCTAAAAGATTACTCCTTCTAACATTCCGTTGTCGCATCGGATCGAACGATTCCCTAGAAATTGGCTTCATTGACAGCCATGGCCTGATTTTGGTCTGCCATAGGTCGGCGACGTTACAAGATGCATCAGATTAATAACTGGGAAAAGTTTAATCATTTTATTGGCTACAGCTGTGCAAAGCTCGTCGCGGCTACACCCCTCCGTTTGGAAGAAATTTGGCAAAATCTTCAGAAGGGATCAAATTAAATATCAACGGATCAAGTCAACACCCGCCCGAGCGCGTGTTGACTCGTCGCCCGTCGTCAGGTGTTATTGAACCCTGAGGAGGACTGAACGGTGTGTGACTTTCAGCCATGTATCGTCACAACCACAATTCTCCCCATGAAATTATTGGATAATCTATCTACGAGTACTTTGCTCCGCCGACTGGGCTAACTAGATGGGACTGAAAAGGGCTTAAAGCTTTTCCTGGTTAGCTCAGTGGGTAGAACACTGAACTCGCGATCAAAAGATCCCTATTTCAATCACACCGTTTCCAAGGAGACAATTCTTGTTAAAATGCATACATGGCTGAAAGCCAACCACCATTCGGCCATTTTAGGGCACAATAACACCGGGCGATGGCCGTGATTAGCTGGTGGAAACGTGAGCATACTAACACGCCAGACAAGGACGATAGTCCGAGCAGTTCTTATATATACGTTTTCACTGGAAGTTGGATAGTTCCGTAAGGGCTTTGCCAAATTTTTGCCTTTGGAACAGCCTGACATTTTGCCCCACCTACCTATTTTTTGGCTGCGTGCCTGTCCAATGGCCAGTCTAGAGCCAGCTCAGAGTAAAAGCTGTTACAACGCTCGTCCTTCCCCTGTCACGTGATCACTGCTGTATATAAAGGACTGTTTTTCCTCAGCTACCCTGTGTGGACTGCAACATAGACCCGCTTCACCTGCCGTTCCGTTATGGATTGTTGTTTCCTTGATATAGCTGAGGGTTCGCACCATTCAGGGATCCATTCCCAGTACAAGTAAAATCAGATTCGGATTTACATTATTCACATGCAAACTTTGAGCAAATATAAAGCAATAAAAAAGGTTACAGGCAACTCAGCCAGACGCGGGTCCAACAGATAGCTGCATTTAGTTCATTTCAAGAAAAGTTTCTACAGATAGCATTTGACGCATTTAACCACATATTTAGATGATGGCCTCCAAGATTTGTAGTTATCTGAAGATTTAATTCCTCATTTCAGGAGCCCATGTTCTGATTTTCAAGATTCAAGAGCTCAAAAGATCTGGCATCTTTACGAATTCATTAATCCGCGAATACATATCGCCCCGGCCCCGACTGCGGACGCACACAACAGTGACCCGCCATGGTCTATGACTCAGGCGAGTGGGCGTGGCTGAAGCAGAACTTTTGCACTGGTCCCTGTTAGCGAGCAAACGGGCTGTCGCTGCCGGCGCGGCGGCGGCGGCTCCGCGAGGCTGTGAGCGGCCCCCCTGCCGATTGGTTCCCACTATCTGGAGCCCATAAACCCACGTGGGTTTATGGGGGCACGCGGGCGGGAACGCACGGTCCCCGCCGAACAGTCCACGTTCAGACTCCGCCGGCGCAGCTTGACGCGAGCCGCGACAGCGTTTACGACGACGACGACGACAACGGAGTGTGCGACGCCGCCCTTCCGACCCCTCTCTCACCTTTGCCTTGCAACTCTTTCGCTAATAGAGACCCTTTCCTTCCAACGTCTCAAGTCGATGGTCCTCCGGAATACTAACGAACTCTTTCGCACGAACAGTCCCCAAAATGTGCGTGAAGCCAGTGATTTGTTTTCTGTTTTTTATTGGTAGCGATTCATTTACCAATGAGTTCCGATATCATTGAAAACGCGTCGGGTGGTCAGCGTGACACCAGTACACCAGACCAGACACCCATTTTCAATACCATACGCCATTCAAGGTAAAATTCAAGGCCAAATGACCGGAAACACTATATCACCTGAACGTTATCGGCCAATTTTTTATTAATAAGCGTCGGAATATTCATCAGCGCATGATCTAGTATCCGGCAAGAAGACCCCACCCCTCAAGGTCACATTTCAAGCTTAAAGGCAGGCTCAAATGACGAGTATGTCGATAGAGCCCAAAACTGATCGGCCAGTTTGCAATTTTTGAGCGTCAGAGTACTTACTAGGGCGTGAATTAGCTTTGTAAAATTCCTGACCTCTCCTGACCTCTCCTGACGTGTCACCTCTGAACCGTCTGGTCCAGAGCCCTGACCCAAGCGAGGGACTCAGAACACCGTCCAGATCTCTTCCCTTGTGACTTACCCTGAGACAGCCTCAAATACGGCCGGCGGGTGGTGACTTTTTTTTCTTGGCAACGGCAAGTGTTCTCTTCAGGCATGTTTTTCAGCTTTTAAACGATTGCGAAGGGCAATCAGCCCATCAGACCAACTGCTGTGGCAGGGGCCGGTACATCACACAGGTGGCGACATATGGAGACCACTACATTGCACCCGAAGTAGAACACGCCCTTGCGATGGCCTTTCGTCTGGTACGGTAGCGCAGCGAGGCTGCCAGTGGCTGTGCAGCGTTAAGTGTACGTAACCAATCCAGCTTTGCAAGGAAGTACATGGCCTTCTAAGTGACTCTCAAATACCAGACAGTGCTTCCTTAATTTGCAGCAAATGCCCTCACCCTTTATTTATCCCCGGTCGTTAGTATGCCATAACGAATATTATCAGGTAGGCGTTCAACATTAAATTGCCTATCGAAAATAAATACTCTGAACGTGCCAGACAGCACTACCAGACAGTGCTTCCTTAATTTGCAGCAAATGCCCTCACCCTTTATTTATCCCCGGTCGTTAGTATGCCATAACGAATATTATCAGGTAGGCGTTCAACATTAAATTGCCTATCGAAAATAAATACTCTACTTGCATGGCGTTAGAAACTTTTGAAACGTGGTGAAGACCAAGCCTGTCTGCAGTCAGTTTTTTTTACGCGTCACCGCTGGTGGTAGACTCAACGAAAGTGTGTGAGCGTGACTCTATTGTTCTCCCGTCTTTACGGCTATAGGTGTAATAGCAGGTGAGCCAAGCTAAATTACGGTCATGCCATATATGACGTGCTACATTAGTGAATCACGAGTCATTCACAAGAAACACCAGATTCCAGGAATCCGTATATGAAATCGCAGGCTTGTTGGCTTACGCAGAATGACTGCTGTAGCTCCGAGCAACACAAACGCTTAATGGTTTCTTCGACCGGGTGAGAGAACTGAGATGTACATCAGTGCTGAATTTTTGTCAGGGATTGTGAAATTACTCAATGGGCCAAGCGCTGGACCAACTCCACACCTCGCACTGGTTTTTGGCCACAGCTGCCCGCAGCATGCTGCAAGGCACGTGACCGCGTGGTCACGTGACGTATTCTGGAGTTTTCAAAACTTTCAAGCGCGATGTATTTTACACCAGGCGAGTTTATGCAATTGCTTTAGGACAGACCATACATCGCCCTGTAGCTGGCATCAACCCTCGTCCTGTGTATAGTTGTCCTCACCCTATAGGGGACCGGCACGTGTTACTTCAGCAACTATCCATTAGACCTCTGCACGAGGTATTGCTTCGTGCGACACTGTGACATTTCGGTCCGCCTAGCGATCCCCTTCGCTGCAGCAAAATGACATCCGTCAGTGAACTGCACAAACATCGGGAGTTTGTGATGGCGCTGACATGCAGGGAATGATGCGTCATAGAGCCGCTTTTAAAGCGACTAGTTTCTAGGGGAAAGAGTGGGGCCGGAGACCGTGCGAATTCGCCTTGTGTTAATTCAGATGGATCTCGTTGTTAGTGATTTGAAGACGCAGCATCGCTCTTGTGTAGTCATTCAGTCAACGGCGGTGACATGTAAGGGCTTAAAATGGCATTTTTGGACTTCCAGAGATGGAGGCAAACACAAGCGACCGTGGTTAGAA